CGCTTTGAAGGAAAATGATTCGCCATGATGGTTGTTGTTCCATAGTGATTGAATCTTTGGGGGATCCTGGTTTTTGAATACTTTGATCTGTTTTTCATTTTTAATGCCTGCAAGTACGAAAAACGGGTTAAAAAGAACAGGTTTGTTGGGCGGGTTTGGATACCTGATTGTGGTGCCCGGGTTTGGTTGGTATCGCCGGCCTTTTTTGACTGCGTGGCTCCACTCGCCAATTGTGGGTGAACTTTGGACGGGTTTCGGGGGTTGAGCTTCTGATGCAGATTGCAGGTCTCTTTGGGCTGGTGTTGTCTGAAACGGCCAAGTTACCGTTGTGGGAATTTGGGGTTGGATCTGACGGCGATGGGGGAGGCGCAGCACCATATTCCGGTGGCTTCGTGGTCTGAGCAGTAGAGCTAGCTTTCTTAAGGTACCCGTATTTGCCACAAGAGTAGCAAATTATCTGAAAGTCCTCATATTCGTCATTGTAAAATTTTCCATCAATCTTGGTTCATCCAATTAGAGGTTTTGTAAGGTCTAATTCGACTGCATTTCAGGCAAATTGACCTCTTTCCACGGTGATTGTGTTCCGATCTGCCTTAAGGTAACGACCCAGGGGTTTGGCAATGCTTCGGAGGAGATCTTCATGAAAATACTCGATGGACAATCGTGGAATATGAATCCACGTGGCCACGGTATTGATGTTTTTGTCTTTGATATTAAACTGTTTGTTCAATGAAAATACTAAGATGTAGTGGTTATCGAGGGACCAAGGTCTGTTAAGGAGGACGGAATAATAGTCTTCCTCAGTGGTCAACCTTAGGAAGTGATGGCCTTCAATGGTGTCTTCCCGCTTCAATTCGCCCTTGACTTTCCAAAAACCCTTGAGTCGTTTGTGTAGACGATCGTGCCTGAAATTTCTACCCAGAGGCTTCACCACAATGGTGTACGTCATAGCGATTTCCATTTGTCGGCGAAATTTCGGTGAGAATTCCATAAGACGCCATCTTCCTCTCCGTAGGTCACGTCCCCTTCTTCAACTCTCACTGTGGTCATGTGGAAACCGTTTGTATATTGGGTTGTGTGGCCTTGGAGGAGTCGATCTTTGAAAGAAGGCCTGCCCTCAACTGTTGGGATGTTGGTGTAGGCAGAGGAGTAGTGTTGCTTTGTGGCCGGGATCAGAGTTGATTCGGGATCAAAGAGGGTGTCAGGTGTGTTCATCGGGCAATCTTCTTTGTTCCTTACTTTTTTGGTAGCGGGATTGTCTCTATCGTGGTTCATCGGGGAGGGATCAGTCATCTCCGTCTCCATGGCGGACAGGAGGGAGGTCACAAGACAGAAGAGGGGATTACAAAGTGTTCAAGGTTAGAAGTAAAGAGGGCCTAACCCAACCTACCCACGAATAGTTTCCTTCTAGTGGAATTTAGAGACTGTGTCATGAATTAACCAAAGTAGAGGAAATAATCGTCTTAAATTAATAGTATAGGGGTTGTTTTGTAATACAGTAAAGCACCAGATTATATATAGTCTTTACGAGTTAAAAATATGATGATGGAATAGTTTGGTATTGAATTGTTTGAGCAAAAACTATCAGATCCCTAATTCCCCTGTTTCGTTCGAACCCTAAATCTCCGATTTCCTTCCCGATTTCATCGATTCCCACTCCGTTTTGGATTAGAATTAGCTGGATAATTACATTTGGTATCAAAGCCATCGTTCCTTGGCATTTTTTGGTTTTGAATTCCGTTCCTTCCGCTTCAACCACTCTGAATTTTCACTTTCCTTTCTGAAATTTTCGTCGAACTCATCTTCTTTCCTTTCACTTCAATCTAATCCAGCAAAATGACTCGAACTCGAGCGGCGGTTGAGGAATCAGTGAAGGATTCAGGCAACGAATCACTGTCATCTTGAATTGAAGTCTTGGAATCTTGGTTTACCAACATGGATTCCCGGTTTTCGACCTTGGAATCCAAGGTTGACTCGCTGGCGTCGACAATGGAAAAGATGGTGGAGATGGTCAACGCGATGCAGCAGAGAAATCCCGAGAAGGCGCCGGTGGTAGAAGTGACTTCTCCGGCCTCTCCTGCACCCTACCGGCCACCATTGGCACAAGGTGGGGCTGAAAACCCTCAAGCCACGTTCAAGGTGGCGTTGGAGAAGGGATCCCGTCGGTCTCCAGTGAATCCAGTGCGCGTGGAAAGTGATAACAACCACCGTGCCAGCAACTCTGTCTGACACAGTCCCCCGCCGGAATTCACAGCTTCTGGGGGGTCTCATGGTGACAAAAACGTCTGGGGACAGTAGGGTTACCGGTGGTATCAGCAACCCCGGTTGAATTTACCGGTTTCACTGGCGATAACCCACCGGGCTGGCTTCGCAAGTGCAGAAAATATGCTCAGATGCACCAAATTCCAAAAGCGGAATTGGTCGATTCAGTGGAGTTATTTCTCGATGGCAAAGCTGACACCTGGTTTTAAGGTGTGAAACTTGCATACGGTAAGCCTTCGTGGACTGAGTTCTCTGAGTCGTTGATTGAGAGATTTGGTAGCAGTAACGGTCAGTACTGTAGTGAGGAATTTAGTAAATTAGTTCAATTGGGCAGTGTTACTGAGTACCAAGAAAGGTTGGAAGAACTCCGTTCTAGGTTGTTGCTGTTAGGTTATCCATTTGATGATAATTATTACGTTTCATGTTTCATTAGTGGATTAAAAGCTGAACTGAAACCTGCTGTTAGAATGTGGCATCCTAAAAATGTTGCCAATGGTTTTGAAATTGCACTCTATCAAGAGCAATCTCTGTCTTTCAGTGGTAGTAATGCTTGGTAGGATTCGGGGCAGAGTGACTCACCCCTTAGTTCTCTGGATAGTGTGAAGGGTGGCAGTGAGTCTCCGGTGGGAAACATTGATAAATTACTCCCTGGTGGCTCTAGTGATAAGTTTGTTAAAGGTAAAGATGACAGGGAGAAGAGTATGTTAGGGGCTAAGAATGGAAATGGGATCAAACTGAATGGGTATAAAGGATTAGGAAATCGATATGTGAAAAAAATGTCTCCTCAGTAGTTCCAATACCGAGCCAACAATCATCTGTGTTATAGATGTGGAGAACACTTCAAACCAGGACATATCTACAAGTTTGGGCAGGTGAATGTGATGTTATGCGAAGAAATGATAAAATCCAATGATCCTGAGAATGTATTGTGGACCATAGATGGTGAGATGGTTGATCTGAATGATTTGGCTCTTGATCATGAAGTGAGGCGCAACAATTGAAGAGTGAAGTTGCAGGTTCCAAGCTTCTGATGGTGGATGTTTAAGTTTACTCAAGTATAGAAATGCTATGTTACTTAATTCTGTTTTTTATTGGTTATTAGTTCTTTTTGGCTTAGAATTTTGTTGTTTAATATCGTTTCATTTACGATCTACTATGAGTAGTGGCTGTTTAGTAGAAAGTCGTTTTGCGAAGTTTTAGTTTTCCAGTCGAGAGGTGTGACTTTGTAAAGACAGTGTTGGGGACCTAATTGTCTTAAATTAATAGTATAGAGGTTGTTTTGTAATACCGTAAAACACCAGAATATGTATAGTCTTTACGGGTTAAAATTATGATTATGGAATAGTTTAGTATTGAATTGTTTGAGCAGAAACTATCAGATCCCCAATTCCCCTGTTTCGTTCGAACCCTATATCTCCGATTTCCTTCCCGATTTCATCGATTCCCACGCTATTTTGGATTAGAATTGGCCGGAGCATTACAGACTGCCAAATTTCCTTGAACTCGGTATACCCAATTTTCTTTAGTGTCCATTTCAAGACCAATTGAAATAAGTTTGAAACTCGTACTAATGGAGGCCCATAAGTCCATGATGAAACAGAGGGGAATTAAACTGGCCCAAGAGTCCAAAACTGGGAGTGCTCAAGGAGAACCCTAAACCTCTAAAACCCTAGATGAAATGTCCAATTATAAATATATCACCAGAAGTTGTCTTCTTCAGTTCGTCAATTTCTTCATATTTTTCTCTACGCCGCGGATACTCCGGCCACCCTTCCACCTATGGCGCTGCCGGTTTCTTTTCCTTAGATCTTAGTTTGATATGTGCGCGTTGATTTCCCTTTTCTCTTTTACTTTTTTTTGAAGGATACAAGTTTTTGTCGATTTCAATTTTGCAAAATCAAGGGAGATTTCGAAAGGCTATGATGTTGAAAAACTACCTATTTTATGAGGGAAATTCCCTTGTGATTAAAGAAACCAATGGATCCTTCTGAGCCTTTTGAATATATATCTTCCTTGTTCTAAAATTTTTGTGTTCGGTTTCTGTTTCTGTCAGTTCTGCAGTTTCAATATAACTATAGATAATTTGTTTTTTTTAAAGCTATGAGCTCTTTGAGTCTCTGAACCATTGAGTGATGATCGATCTTATCCGAATTAAAATGTGGATTTTAAAAAAAAATTTCCAGGTTACAATTATCTGATCAATGGTTCTGCTCCTTCCTGGTCATATATTTGGATCTGATAAATTTATTAATCTATGTTTACCATTCCTCCTTTACACTTTGACAGTCTACTTTTGTAATGTGAATTGTGAACTGCCCTTTGTTGGGTAAACTGTGATTAGGAATTTTGACAAGTTGGATCAGAAATTTAATTTAAAAGTCAAGCTTCCAGAAAATATTCATCAGTACCAAATGAAAACAAAGCAAGAGGTAGTCTTGAATGACCAGAATTTTCATTATTACTGTATCTTTAGAAGCACGTCACAATGTAAAATTCCTCATATTCCACCAATTTGGAGTGAACATAAGTTAACCAAATTTAAACCTCCAAAATACCGAGTTTAAGCCTCGAGGCTGTGATAAAAGTTAAATGCAAGTATCTATTCCTTGCATCACTAACCATCTAATTTTAATCAGTGTTTTGGTACATTTAATAGGGAGGCCAAAATTTTTAGTTAGACCAGAACTATACTGAGATTATGGACATGTAACTAGACTGCCGCACTTCGGACTTTCTCCTCATTCGTGATGTAATGGTGGAGTTGTGTCCCCTAGTTGTAACTGCATGGAGATACTGACATGGTCTGGTACTATCTCCAAAATGTGCTCTTTAGCCTCTTCTGCAACTTTGATAGCATCCCTGGTCAACGCATTAGCATCCAGCTCAAAATGATCAGCCAATTATCCTCTATGGAGGAAACAAAATCAGCTGGGACAAGTTACTGAGATTTCACTTACCTAAGCAACATATCTGGATGCATAGAAACCTCGACCTGCAGTAAAATATGGCCTTGCAACTGGTGACGGGTTATGTGTTGAACAGCCAATTTCTGAGGAATGCAAAAAGTGTGTTTAAACTACTGGAGATGGATAAAAGGATTAGCGAGAACAAAAGATCGAATGCCTTTTTATTCTTGTCAAGTAAGTGGATCATGGAAAGAACATCCAGACTGAACAGCATACCTCTGAAAAGTTTGAAGACAATGTATTGCGCACCATTTCCTCTACGTCCAATCCATCCAAAGAAGTGTCTCCATTACCTTTCCGATCAGAGTTCTCAATTTCTGTCGCACCAGGGACAGGTGAAATTTCAGACATCGCAGGATCTGTTTAAAAGTACTAGCATGGTGAGAGCAGTGATATCACAAAGATGACTACAAGAAATTTGAAGAACAGAAAAAAATGGCCCAATTGGGTAGGTACTCCGGCACATTAACAAATAAACCTCGACCACTGCACACACGCACCACTGCCCAACAAAAGGCTCATATTACAATTTCTGTTCATATAAGGCAATCGATGTTGTTTACCAGCTTACCAGGTGAGGAAATGCTACCAAGTATATCCCAATTAATTGTGATTACTTATCCTAGAATGTGAGAGCAATCACTAAAACCCAAACACAGTCTTCATGATAATGATCAGCCAGAAACTTCTTTCTGAACGTATTCTTGAGAAATTTCTGTCAAATTGCAATTTGCTTTTGTAGGATGTGGAAGAGCTGATAAATGAAATTTCTGCCTAATTGCAATTAGCTGTGATTTGCTCTATCGAAGTTAGAATATAGGCAAGTAGATTACCAATATGTATAAAAACTTCAGCAATCTCAGGATGAAACTGCTGTATACTGCGACGGACATTTTCACCAACATCATGCGCAGCACTGACGCTGGAAAAAGGATCCACCTGTAGCAGAGAGTTGTAAGATGTTGTGCCAGGGAGAATTCATGGCCATGAATTAGAACCATGCTGAACACTGTCAAAGACTGATGCTAATCAACATACACCATAAGGTGGCCTTGCATACCTCCACATTTACATCAAGATACAAAAAAGAACCAGCCCGGCGTCCTCTCAAATGGTTGCACCCCTACAGATTTGAGAGAGACAAACGGTCACCAATATTAAGAACTTAAAGAAAATTGCAGAAGTATAATCAGCATACTAACTATATATGTTCCAAGCATGAAATTTATAAGATTCTATATATTTATCTATCACGGGTTACGATTGTTTAAACTGTAAAAGCAAGTATGTCTTTCTATAGGTTCCAACTCATGGAATACAAAATACAGGTACAAACAAAGAAAGAAAAATGAAGCTTCCGACATATTGCCCTACCGAATCATTATGCAATCAGTAGACTATCATGAATGTCCGGTTCTGTCAAGAAGAGTTATCGACAGACTTAACTAAACATTGCTAGTCCTCGGAGGCAAAAAGATTAACAAGGCAAGATCAAAGTATACATGTGCAACTAAGGCCAAGGAAGTGGATTGTCCCTCTCTGAAAAGTTCAACTTCTGTAAGAAACATTATAGTCCAATCCAGCTAAGAATTGCGTAAACTGAGGGAAAAAAGAAAGACAAGGTTTTTACAAGCAAGGTCATTTCCCAATCACAAAAAACTGCTGCAAAAAACAACTTTACTGCCATGACTAAGCTATAAGATGGGTATTCCTATTTCATATTTTGTGGATAGACGATCAAAATTCCCAGAGGAAACATGTCAAACAAACGAATAAGTTTTCTGGCTAGGCAGCCAGGATCTCCCAAATACAACATGTAAGAGAAATAAAGTAAGGTCAAAGTTCTACCAGCAACAAAGATAACAGCAACAGCAACAACAAACATCTAAGCATGTCCAAATTAATCAAATAATACTCTCATAGGTAAGCTTATGTGACAACGTACCTTAACCCCCTCAACCTGTAGAATTGTATGTTTGTAAGGTTCCATAAGTTGTGATGGAACAGCAGCATCCACCAACTCAAGAATGCTGAAAGATGATGCAGTGAATCAAATTCAAAAGTATAAGGAACATGATAAGTTAATTTTTCAACAATCCAGAAATCCTTGGCTATTTGACCTCTCAAGGGCATTAACCAAAAGTGCTGTATACTGGTAATGGAAATCAAAAGTGACTGATTGCTTCTGCATTTGACTATTATAGCCATGAACTATTCAGCTACTCAAAGGGGTTTCTGAAATATCAGTTTTACAAGATCATGGGACACACATAACAACACAAAAAGAACTTGACAAGCTTTACAAAAATTCAATTTTGCTGGTGAAGAAATCAGATTGGAATAAGAGCCTCGAAACTTGCATGAATCTCAGGGTCATCTTGACAAGCATGACGGACAACACGCATTATTTTTCCAGTTCAACAAATTGGAAAATTAAAGTTGAATATAATTAAGAGATTACCTCTGATAACCAGTATCAAGCCCGGCTTTCAGTATCATCCCAGATACAACTAGTCCTGCCAAAGGATCGAAGAACCTCACTCCAAGAATAGAACCTCCTGCACATGGAACATCAAAGATGATATAGTCATATTACGTAAATGAGGAATTACTAAGTGCATCGTTGAAAGTACAATCAAATTTCACAACATGCAGAGAAATTATACATTACAGATTTAAACAGAAAAAAAAAAAAATACTGGACAAAATCTAGCACGAGAAAGGAAAATGAGGGTCATTACCAACCCCTATCAGAGCAACAACTGATGAAACAGCATCTGCACGATGATGCCAAGCATTGGCTTTCATCAGTCCACTGCCTGCCCTCTCACCAGCTCTTCTGGTAATCCAATATAGTCTGCATTGTGCATAAATCAAACCAATATATTGGTCAGAAGTCAGAACAATGATGCAGAAGATCATGCTACAACATGGTTGGTCAATAGGCGAAAGAAACAGCAAATTAACATCTGAAGGATATCAACAGGCAAAGGAATAGAGTGCAGGCTCCATACTTCTGTGGCCACTTTAATGTAACTTTTTTCATTTCAGTTCCACAGTGACATTAATTAAAACAGCCATCGTACTAGACTCAAATAAATCAGAGTCAAAGATCAAAATAATGTAAGACAATTTTATGCAAACAACTCTGACTATACAAGTACATGTGACAGGGAACAAAAATGAGCAATTGCACGCTTTCAAATATGCTTTATGCAATTGAACTCATAAGTACCCATCCACCTAACAAGAATATTGGCAAAGAAGAAAAATCTTACACCCTCACACTTACCTTCCAAACACTTCATTTATTCAAAATTCAGCTAACTAGAAAAAATTGTGCTCATTCCTCCTCTCCACATCCCTTCTCTCTCTCTCTCTCTCTCTCTCTCTCCTCCCCCCCCTCCACCCCCAAAAAAAAACGAAAAAATTGTGCCAACGAACATCATAATAAATAGTCAAGACAATTTCATACCCTTCTTTCACAGCTATAGAAATTGTAGTCACACTCAGAGCTAGGACAGGATGAGCCATGTCAATTCCATGGTGGTGTCCACCATTATCATGTCCATGCATATGTTCATGAGCCAAGGAGTGATTAATTAAGTCAGGACCAGCTGACCATACTCCCTACAGATATAGCAATATAACTGAAGTTATAATAAAGAAAATACAAAGTAACTTAGCATGCATGCAATGTTACAAAAGTTGATGTTTCTGACAGGACACTAACCGAATTCCCATGTTTACCAGAAGTTTCATTTCCACACAATACTAAACTTTCAAGGAGCAAGTACTTAAGTGGTTAGGAACAAGAGGTATACCAGTAACACGTCCACAGCATGCCATGCGATGCCTCCAGCTGTAAGCAAAAGCATACCCGAAATTCCGAGGGCTCCAAGTGTCTCAAATTTACCGTGACCTGAAAAAGGGCAATAATCAGATTAATATCAGAATTCCTCCAAACAAGCAAGATCAGTTATTATGTTATATAAGGTATGATGTCCATTCTCACGGAAACCAACATCAACTATCCTGATGAAAAATGCAAAAATTTTGATGATCACTCTCAATTCAGAATTCCATAAGAAAAAAACATCCAAGCATCAATTAACAAGACTCCAAGGCAGCTAAGCATCCTTAGTTCTCAAACTGAATTTGATGGTTTTTAATTCAGAAACGAGAAGACGGAAAATTTTCAGTGTCAGTAACTCATCAGTACTTGCAAGCAACTTATAACACTCATGTAATTATAAAACTAAATAAATAATAAAAGAGAAGCAACCAGAAAACCCGAGCCATAAGAGTGTAGGTACAGATTAATAGTAACCATATGGGTGTTCTTTGTCCTTGGGGATCCTCGCAGCTTTATATGACCATAAGGCCACACCACTGAGCACCTGAAAGACAAGACAAACACTAAAAATCCCAGCTACGATATATAATAAATTGGAGCTCAATGGCAAAACAAAAGTAAAATAAAATTACCACGTCGGAGATAGAATGTGCAGCATCGGCAATAATGGCAGTGCTACCAGAGAGATAGCCAGTCAACGCTTTCCCGGCAGCTAAACCAACATCGGCGCCAAGTCCGAGCCGGAAAATCTTTTCCCCTTCCGAGCCGGAGCTGAAGTCCCCGTGGTGATCATGATGGTGGTGGGAGTGGCCGACATGCCACCGCCTAGAAATTCGGGAGCTAGGGTCTTCAAAGTAAGGGAGCGACTGAGGAGGGCACAGAACGGCATTCGCCGGAGAAAGGTGGTTCCGGTAGCTGTTTCTCGAAATCAAAATTCCGTGAATTGGGATGGAATTTTTCAGAAATCTAAATCTCATCTTAACGCTAAAAACAACAAAATTGAATTCCGAATTCAGATGATTCGCCTAAACAAGGAACTGTTCATTTGATTTATGATCAATCGATTGTGGTTAAAGAAATAGTTGCTCTGCTCGCTCAGCACAAGTCTGCTAGATTGAAGTGGCGTTTTCCGTCCAACAGAATCGGAATCAGGTCCCTTAGGAAACAAGTCAAAACGAGCGCTGAACCGGGTCCGTGATGGTGTGAAGGAACTTATACTATGTAGTCTGCAGGGTGTTTCAGTAATTTACATGCAGTCTCATTTTAATTTTGCACATTTCTTCTAAATTTTGTGGTATTATTTTTCTTTTTCTTTTTTCTTTTTTCTAAAAAGGATTAATAGTAATTCTCCACTTAGCCATGTGTGACTCGAACCGTGAGTGACCTATTGGTGAAAGGTGAGGCGTCTTTATCACTAGACTGTACCTCACTGTCAAAGCATGCTGGAAATGTAAGAAAAAAAAATTATTTCAAAATAAAATTATACTTGAAACTTGGAGTGATTATTTGTAATAAAGCAAAAAAGTGAATATAATTCATTGGCTGTATAAGCTATTTCTAGTCCCTACAAATGCAGGCAAATATTACTTTCTTAGACAAAAAATAGTTACTCCTTCCGTCCTATAATTATTGTCCAGTTTGAGTTTTCATTTCTAGTTCAAATTGTACTAAAAGTAAAATCTCAAATTGGACAATAATTTTGGGAGAGAGAGAGTATTTAATTTGTTATCCAATAGTTTTGGTGTACTTCAGAAGAAAGAGAATACTGCATGAGAAAACTCAATTTCGTACTCAAAATTGTAAGAATATACAATTCCTCCAACAGTAAATGTACAGTTCCTCAAAACTATAAGAGTTGTAAGAAGCTAACATCTCTTTCCTACTTTTTTTTGCAACAGAGCAATACAACTTCCTGATTGATTGATGATACACTGTGCACATGGGTTCCGTTTTGCTTCATCCTCTAAAGTCCAAACAAGGAGAAGAAGATGAAAAGGGAAACAATAACCAACGAATTTGGTCCGATGTCTGAAGAAGTAACTATATCAATCACCAAATCTCAGACGTGCTCAGAAAAAGCCCTACCTATCTTCTCCGATCACGCCATCGGTTGGCATCATTCATCCCAGGTTCCTGGTACCCAGAACTGGAAGGATACACAGAATGCCGATTTGTTTGTCTTTCAGGTCTGTAACTGTGGACTTGATTCATATCGTGTTCTTGGTAATTCAATCCAGGCGTGTACCTATGTGATCTCATGGGACTCTTATGCTGGCTCCATGTTTCAAAACCAGGCTCTCCAATCACTTGGGGGCCTGCAAATGTTTTGTAGTCAACTGGATTTATCTCATTCTGATAACGAGCATTTGGATGATCCACACCTTGCCTCGGCCACCAAGAATGACCCTGTGGCTCTGGAATATACGACGGCTGCTGCTGAACCTGCGCTTGTGCCCGATGGGTGGTGGTTGTTGGGTACGAAATGTCATGCATTGCAGGGTTTACTGCATTAAGTGGATTAGCCATTTGGGGAATTCTAGATACTGAGGTACGGTTCGAGTTCAGTAAAACTTCTGATGGCTGACTAAGTTGTGTGTATGCAGCCACATTCTGGGGCAAAGAAGAAGACGGTCGTTGATCCTGCAATCCATACAGTTGCGGCAGTAGTTGTTGGGCCAATTGTTCAAGTGTTGAGGTTGGCTGCGGTCCTACCACAGTCGCCGGTAGTATCTGAGGCTGCTGTACAAAGTTGCCAGCTCGAAGCTGTTGCTCCATCTGTGGCGAGGCATAAGATTGTACCATGTTGCCGTGCAAAGAAATTTCTTGCGAATAAACAGCCGGTAAGGTTCTTTGGGTACTGTTAATGTCATGGCCAACCAATGTTTTCTGTTGAGAAAAAGGATTCTTGATGTAATCTGGCTTCCATGAACCCTGCAAAACAAAAATTTAAATGGGAAATTAGATTAAAAATGCAGCAAATATAGAAAAATGCAAATTTTCCCTGCGGGAGAATAGACTGACGGAGACGTTCACAGAAAACCACGGTAATAAGGACAGTGCACAGTAGCACGAAAATTTTAATGGTGCAGCTTTTCATTTCATACAGATTACGCTCCCCAGTTTTACTATCAGAAAAAGTCCAAGGAGATTGTTGCACAAAGATTTGAGGATTGCCCTGTTCTTTTGTAGTTTATTTAACTGTAAATCCAGATTATAATTTCTAATTATTAGATCTCCCTGGTCCAGAAGCCAGAAGGTTCATTACCCCGGGAATCGGTATACGTGAAATCCTCATTGCGCCACTACTTCGCATATGTAAAACTAAATCTACGAATCCAGAAGCAGGACGGAGAGAATGGAGCATTTTAGTTTGAATAAGGCATGGAAATCAAAAGTAATTCCACAACTTATCCATGTAAGTGCTACAAAATGTGTGAAATCACGCACCGTTACAGGATCGTTGGAAGGAGTGGGGGATGGTAGAGAAACTTCAACCTTCTCCTCGAGTTTCCCTTTCCCAGATGATGAAGCACTTACACTAGTTAATCCTTTCGTCTCATTTGCCTTTATCATGTCAAGCAACTTTACAGTTTCTTCATTTGAAAGATTACCAGCTTGGCCAGATGTCAAGGCAAAAACTAATTGTGGGTTTTTTAACAATGCAGCAAGCAATTCAAAGTCTGGTTCAGGCATCCCGTCAGCAATTTTAGGCAATGACCCTGCAGATGTACCAACAGTTCCATCACTCTCACGCGGGGAAATTTCGCCATCAGGGGGTTGAGCAATTGGAATTTCAGGAGTTAAACTGTCGTCATAGTCTATTTCGCGGTCCCAAGGTTCCTTAGGATTCGACGGAATTTCCAGCAATGTCTTGTAAATAGTTTCTCGTTCACGGTGAATTCTATTTTTTTGAACTTCTACTTCTTTGCTATGCTCTCCTGCACCAACACTCCAGGAATCATCCAGCCGAATTTCTGCATGGAAGAGGAAAAGGCAATAAACACTCTGTCAGCAACAAACACTCTCCACCGGAAATCAAAACACATCACGTAACAGTTTAAATTCAAAGGCAAACTCAGATACATAAAAAATAAACCATATTTACATGAATGGAAGAACTAACTATTTGTCCAATAACTTTTAATGGTCCCAAAGAGACTAGCCTGTTTTCCACAAGTCAAATGCAGTCATTGTCACAATAACAATTCCGAAAATGAATTTAGGTAAACTCGAGGGCTTTAAATCTTAATGTTGCATGGAGACACCAAAGACCACAGGAACAATTTTATCAGAACCGGTTAACTTTGGATGGAAGAACAAGTTGATTAAGAAGTATTTCGCTGCGCAGAGATGGCTGACAGCAGATATTATTCCACTCAACAAAAATATTTTAGACATTGAATTGCAATGCTGACTTGTGAAATCTTGTCCAAACTGCATAAAGAGTTATTTGGAAGCTGCAGGTGTATAATCGCGAAGCCATTATTAGGAACTAATTGATTTGACTTTCTCATTTTGGACAGAACGGGTAATGTTCTTCCTGCTAGCTAAAGAGGTTAATGATTCACACTTGATTCATTACGATCTCCTGAAGTAAAGCCTCACACTTTCAAACAAAATTAATTGGCAAAACCATAACCATTTAGCAACGAAATTGCGGTAAATCATGTCTGTTACTAGGAAAGCGTATATTTCAAAGGGCTCGTGAAACTGAGGATGAAAAAGAAAATCAACAGACAGCACCAATCATTTTAAGACTCAATTTACAATGCAGAACCGCCAATAACCAGCAACCCCATTCGCCAGAATACGGAGCCCAAAAAATATCAAGAAAATAAGGGCTTCCTGAATTTGCAAAAGATTGCTACAGAAAGGTGCATTCTCAGAGCCTTGAGAGAGCTAAAATAATACCCTCATTTCCATATTGGTCATTTGCTTTGGACCAGAAAGATGCACCTGGATCTTTATTAGGTAAAGGAATTTTGCTCATTGGAAGCATTCAGATACTTTATGAATGATCTGTAACCGAGGCAAAGACGTTGCCAAACGCAAGCATAAAAAAGCTAAACCTGGTACCCAAAAAAAATGTCTTGGGTGCATGAGTTGTTGGGGGGTGGGATGAGGTGGTTGTGTGTGTTGGGGAAGAACCAAGTGAGAAAGTGTGGTAAGAGTAGCTTTTATCTCTATATATTGACATAAAGGTTAAAGACTAAACTGTACGCACACAAAAACCACTAAAAGATCTTAAATGATGAAATCATGGAATGCAAAGGCATATATTACCTGCAGGTGTCTGCCATTGGATTTGAACTCTCTTGCACTTCTTCGGAGGAGGTTCATCTGGATGGGATGTGATCCTGTTTTCTATTGAAGATTTTTGCAGATTGGTTACATCTAATAGTGAAAGATCATCACACTTCCTAGGCTCCTCAGTTTCATCTAGACCGTGTGTTTTAGGAAGATCGTCACACTTCGTAGGCTCCTCAGTTTCCTCTTGTTTTTGTGTTTTAGGAAGATCATCAGACTTCTTAGGCGCCTCAGTCTCATCTCCTCCATGTGTTTTCAGAGTTGACACCGATTTGCTGGTGTAAAAAGTGGCGGTCTTATTTCCACCTTCAGTCTGAACCTGAGGGCTTACATCTGAAGTATTACTAGCTTTACCATGTTTATTCTGAATAAATTGTGCACGCATCTTTGCTTTCTGTATATCATCAGCAGATAGTGGGCGGCCTTTAGTTGCAGTAGTGGATCTCGGAGTCTGAGAGGTCCTTCCGGTAGACTTCTGCCCAGGTTGCTCCACCAGAAGCACCTTTCTACGCTCTCTATTTTCTGTAATAAGCTAAGGAAATTAACTGGCCCAGCATGTTACCGTATTCACTAACCAAATTCATATTGCTCATCAGCTACCGAGCTAAAACGGCAAATGCATAAAATATTATAGCATAAATAACAGCAATTTTGAGAAAAGACACCAAAACGGCATTTAATTTGGACACTGAATTTTGTAAAAGACACAAATTTTAAAATGGAGGGAGTACTACAGATCTTTGGTTCAATCCTTTTGTTCCTCAAGTAATTAAATTCAAGATATTATAATCAAAATGCCCTCAATTGATAGTTACTGCTATTTTTCAAAGTTAAGGATACGAGAACCACGAATAAGCTTCTTGTTTGAGTCATCTGCAGATCCTGTAAGCAACTTAACAGGTTGCGACTCCAACTTCCTGGAAGAAATAAATACTTGTTTAGATCTCCATTGTTTGTCAGACAAACATGTAAAGGATGAGATCACAAACTAGTCAATCAACAACAAACTACCTGAAATTTCCAGAACTCTCATCCATAGGAGTAGAAATATCTTCCTGCAAAGTTAGAGAAACATCCATGACAATCACTAACATGATTCAAGCAACTGTATGATATAACTATTATCAGACGCTTACAAGGTTATCAACATTTGCATGCCATGACTCGTTGTCCATAACTTCGATGATGCTGCATGGGATGATATCCTTGCATGAGAAAGACTTGAAAGCAAAAAACATAAATAATATAGCACACCCTAGGACGCAGACCCTTACCTTTGCTTCAATAGCAACTCATCGGGTGAATCAACTGCAGATTTAGCTCCATTAGTTTTCCTGAAAGCTTGGCTCCTGGCAAATGCTTTGCTCCATTTTGTCAAAAGAATCCTTGCCCTGTTCGAAACGTCTGATCTTCATATCAGATACAAGAGAATTAAAAATCAAAGAAACATAAATATATTCAATCTGCAACTATCAATTAATTTTTCACAATCTCGCAACAGGTTGTAAAACGAATACAACTCAACTGGCAATTAAGCTGACAAAATAAATACAATCACAATTCCAATCTGCAAATTGGATTTACAGCTGCTAACAATGTAAATAAAATATTCATTTTCCGCATTCAGAAAAAGCAGAAAGTTTAATGTTCCCCACTTTATCAGAATTACACAAGTTTATTTTTTGTTTTCCATATCGAAAGAGCAGTTTGTTACAGAAAGCCTTCTAAAAGTTAAGGAATAAATAAGCAAATCAGACCCAGAAAACAAACTTTGTAATATAAAAGTAGAAAAAGAAAAAAAAAAGTAAAAAATATCCCTTTAGCAGAAAAGAACAACGAAATGCACCAGCCAAACAGATCCTAACAGCCATCAAACACATTATGAAATAGATCCTAGATTTGAAAGTTTTGACACTCACATGCAAAATGCTTTATAACTTAACACAAATAATAATTAACCCTATTCCACCCAAAATATTACTGACATTTGACAAGTGAACTACCAAAACCAACAATCTTACAAAGCGAGCTGTTAACAACATATAAACAAAGGCCATCATTTTGCGAAAGCAAAGACTTGAAGAAAAGCCTCACAAAGCGAACATCATTTTAAAGCTGAAATTTGAGAAGCACAAAGCATTGTTGGAAAACCCAGAAATTGGGACATACCACTGGCCTAGCATATGCACATTGGAAATATGCAATTTACACATCAGATCACAAATAAAGATGACTTCTACCAACGTATTCAGAAGTTCCCTTCATTAGGGAGTAATCAAAAATAAATATACCGGAAGAGAATTAGCAACGGGCAAGAACATCACACCTGATACCCTGTAAAATCGCAGACTATTTACACTTTGCAGTATGGCTGACATATGCACAGGTTGAGCTTTCTGCAGCGGCAGATGGCAGAAAACCTGTAAAATCGCAATCACAGTTAAACCTGGAGCAAGTATGTTAGTAAACAGAGGATAGAAACTTCATCTAAATGTACATTTCATACATTGAGTATAAGACGGAGAACACTAGTTTGTTCCTCCAATAAAGCTTGAGTCAACCAAGATGCTAAAATCATTACACCACCATTTGTTAAGAACCTACAGATAAGAAGCCGCGTGGTGTGGGTCAGAGCCTACTAATAGCTAAATTGTTTTTAGCGTAAGAAAATGACAAGTGTCATTAAATGAAAGTACCAATATAGTACTGAAGCATTTTGGATTCGCATAATCCACTCCATCAACTTCACTTGACCGGAGAACGAATCTTCTTTCCTCATCAAGCTAAATATATTTTCAACAAAATATTTATCAGACTGGTCATCCGTAGGATGGACCGCATCTTGGTTTAAACAGGATCCTGACTCCATGCTGGTCGGAGCTACAGTATCAAGGGGAACTGGATTCATAGAATCACTAGAATCGGTGCTTATCGGAACCCCAGCATTGACATCTTTAGATCTAGTAATGTTCTCTTGAGATATTCTGACAAATTTTCTCACTCTTGCTCGTTGACTATTAAAAAATTCCCGAACCTAAACAACACAAGAAAAAAAAAAGAACACACGAGTCACTAAAAAAGATTAGCACCATTCTATAACTATTAGCAACAGTACATGCTAGCTACCATGACCAATAAGATTGAACTTGAGGGATTGGGGGTGGGGATGGTTGGGGTGCGTTTCTTTTAGTACAAATGGTTTAAATTCTCAATATAAATTATTGATTTTATAATTTTTGCTTCTCATTTTTTCTCCCTCTCTCTTGAAAGCTGGCTTGCCAACAGGGGGCCGTGAAAGTTACCCTTTCAGCAATCCGCTATCTCAAATGGAAAATTAAAGAAAAGGACAGCCAGCGGTTAACATAAAGAACACTAAAACAAATAGAACATGACAAACCTGTGACGCTGTAACACCAAAGAGGGCACTGATTTCTCGAGTTTCCTTCTTGGTGATTGCATCTTTGATGGAGAAAACAGCTTGCATGTATTTTATGGCCTTGGGATTCAATAAATCTCTTGGCCTTTTCCCTGCCCAAATGGAGATCAACACTAAGTACAAGGAACCAAAATACTGCATTTAACACGTAAAATCTTCTGAGGAAACTGTCATGGCAGTAATAGCAACTCAAGATTCATAACACGAAACATGGTTGATTATTATTTCATTTGACAAAGTTGAGTTGTTAACAAGCAGACACTTCCTATCTAACAAAACTAGCAAGTAGCAATCTGGCACTTAAACAATTGAGGAAAATTAGAGCTTAGATGCAGACACTAAAAGAAAATTATCGCAATATGTTGGAACTACATATTCTGATTTGAATACGCAAAATAATAAGTTCTGCAGCAACAAAGAGGGTATTGGGGAAGAACTTCATATGTATTAGAGCTGAGCAAACTGGGAATAAACACGGGCTGAGAGCAACAAGATAAAGAAATTTGAACTATTTTGAATACAAAAGTCTCAGTAGGGAGAGAAACACGTGATTCAAAGCATTCAAAAAACTTAAGTTAGCCTAAAGACTACCAAATTAATCCTTAACGTTTCTGAGGCATCGTAAACCACTAAAACACCAATTACTGATCTAATAACTTGAAACTATCCACAGGGATCATGCAAACTGTGCTCAAGGAATTTGATTACCCACAGTGCATTTTAACTTAAAAACTGTTTAATATGATATCATCAGATATTAAAAGAAAACATAAACAACTCACCAATTTGAATGGATAAAGCTCCAGCAGCCTGCACCCGGACAAAGCAAAATTGGATCAGTAATCATTTCAAGACAAGAAAACACCAAGGCTTCTGAAAGAAGTATCGAAATTGCCTTTTCCAGGAGAATCACTTCTCATAGAAGCCTATATCAAAATTAGCTATAGATATTTCAATTACGCAACCTTGGTTATCAATTTGGTAAGAAACTCAAGCATAAATAAATGAATTCCAAGTCTCCAACACCATTAAGAGTACAGTAAACAACAAATATCTGCATTTAGCACAATTTTAATTATTCTCGAAATCTATCTTATTATAGAAATTAATAATGCTGGCAGCAAATTTGCTGAGAAATGTTTTTCGTTTTCCCATAACTAACAAAACTAACCATCTCTTGAGAAAGGGGATTGACGCCGGTGAGGTTGCATTGGGTGAGAACGATATTCTCGAGCTCCTCGATCTGGCTACGAAACAGCTCCTTCTGAGAAATTAACAAATCCTGAATCGGCGAGGAAGAATTGGAAACCACAAGCTCCAATTGATTTTCATTAGCAAGCTGGAGCTCCATCGCTTTCAATCCAGTTATCGAATGGGTGCGGAGCCTTCAGAGGTCAAAGCAGAGCATCAAACAGAATAGGAATTCAAGATGGTGAATCCCTAAAATTTAGAATTAGGGCTAGGTTCGGAATTAGACGGGTAGAGAAGCAGCAGTGGATTTTAGACAAAAAAAAAAAGCCGGCTCCCGTTTTTTCTTTTCTTTTTCGAAAAACGATAGCCGGGAGAGGCATGTGATTTTTATTTTTTATTTTTTTTTCAAAAGCGATCATATTTATTAAAAGAAAAAGATTAAAATCATAATTTACAACGAGCTAATACAATCCGCCCTAAATGACTCTTCTAGCCACAAGGAAGAATCATCTTCCCACATTTGTGTACATTTACTAATGAAGCCTAATTTGGCAAAATACAAAATACAAAATTGTTTCTAAAAATTTTACTGTGAGAGGTAATAATAATAAAGCTAGCTAGAGTCAGCTTATAAAAATAAAATACTACTACCTCTGGTTCCTTATTATAAGGTGTTTAGATTTATATTAAATTTATTTAGTATTTTTTAATTAAAAATAAATTTTAAAATTATATTTTCGCATTTATTGTGTTCTATCAATTATTACAAAATAATCTAGTTTTTTGTATTATTTTATAGTCATAATAATTTTTAAAATGGGATGTAACAATTACAATAATTCCAACTGAGTCCATAATTAAAATAATCATCGACCATATCAACTTTTTTATTTTAATGGAGAAAAGAATAATATTTTACTTATATGCCATACCTTTTATGACATGATTACATGTAGTTTATTGCTATTATATAAAATTGTTAAATGTATGAATTGGAAAATTTTATTACGAAATACGGTGAATTATGTTTTAGCATTGTAAACAGTTTAAAAAAAAAAAAGTAGTCCAAACAAAAACTAGGAAAAAAATTGGAATTTATTCATTCAGGACCTTCAAGAAAGATGTTACACTTGTCTGATGAGAATAATATTCCTTTTATCCTAATTTGTTTTTTCTAAAACAATCATTTTATTTTTATTTCATAGAAGTGAGGAATTATTTTTTCAGATATAATAAGACTACTAAGTACTAACATCTCTTATAAAACATTATTATTAGAAAATTACAGGTTATTACTCATACGCATTTGCTTCATGATTACTTATTCACATGTTTGTAGTACTTTGTACACTGTGTTTTGGGGTCAAAACTAAAACCAAACCGATTTCCTACCCTCTAGGCTTTACTAACTGCAATTTACACGAGCTGATAAGAGCAGTTTCTAGCAGAAAAGATAATAAAACTATAAATGCACAAATGTAGATATCAGATCAATAATGTAGGTATGGCTATTGAGACAAATTCCAGGAAATAACGTGCTTCAAAAAAATAAGGATCTATAGTAGACAATGCCTATATAATAGCAAAAACGTTTATATTAATTACAAGACCACTATTCTTCTTATTTATTGTATCCTCTAAGTACAAATTGTACCGTTTACAACTCATTGAATTATTGAATACAATAGAAATTCCCGCTCCGTATACACAGGACCACAATTACTACATATGATAGGCCTGACAACATAACAAAATTTGATATACAACAGAAAAGGAACCCCGAATATCTATGAAAAGAAAGCGACATCGGATCAAACAATGACTACACTCATTACAATGCAAAGCATCTTAATCTACTAGTTAAAAAACTCCAAGCTCCTGCAAAATCTTTAACCATATTCCTGCAAGCATTAACTTTCAGTTAAAAACCATTCAGGCTTCCCAGTAAGGCCCTCCTTTAGGACCATTGACAATCAAGAAACAGACCTCAACAAGTTATTACCAAATGAAGATTTGACTTGACATAGTCTGCTTAAGGCATAAATCTTGGATCCAATGGAAGAAATAGATGTTTATATATATATATATGGAAGAAAGTTTTTCAATTGTAGAGAGAAATCTCACCCCATTGGTTGCTGGCGGCTAACTGAAGTCAATACCGTGGTAGAGGAGTGACATTAAACAACTGAGCTTGAGCTACTCATATTTACAAAACGTAGCAGCCGAGATCCCAAAAACAGTTTCAAAATATAACCTAATCAAAATTTGTGAACCTTGAGGTCCTCTGGTACCCTGCATACCACATTTCACTATTTCACAGGCACTTCTTGAATGCCCCATTCATCTGAGGATAAAAGAAGATATAGCTCCCACCTCGTGGAATGTATATATACAATGTCCAACTTCTCATCAGTATAATCACAGAAGCAGCATCCTGTAAAACCAAACAGCAACATAAAAACTGGAATCAGTAAAAGAACTCGGAATACAGATTGAATAATAGTACACAAAGAACAACCATACCTGAGCCTGCAACTACCAAGATTTTCATCTATTGGACCACGAACAAGGTACACCTACAGGATTCAGTTTGCAAAGAGAGTTCCTCCATCTCGTGTCTCTCTCAAAGATGACAATTACAATAACTGAGAGAAAAAGCTCGCTTCCTCCAGATACTACAATGATGAAGATACAACTGCAAGAAAACTTGTCTTCTGAAAGTCTGGAATGACCTCTGACACACTTTTTGCAATCATTCCTACATCTCTTTATAATCCTGAAGTGACTCTTCTATACAATTGTTCTCCTCATTGAGGCACAAATCAATATTTTCAACATCCTTATTCTAAAAGTAGTAGCAGCCTCATTCAAAATGAGAAAAATGCAAATCCATGTGGTACACTGTACAGTAACACAAGATCATTGGAATGAATGGATAAGGTGAGCATCTTCCCACAAACCAAAGGTTTACTTCAGTCCTTAAACTGAAAATAGGATGAGATAAGGTGAGCATTTTGCAATGATCACCATTAATTCCTCAAAACTGAAACTGTAATAATTCCTTCAGTTACTTCAGGATTATTTTGCCTTTGACTGTAGCTCAACAGCTTCTATTGCCACCCGCACAAGGCGTAGTAATCTTTCAACATCTTGGAAGTTGAAATCAAGAGCCTTCTTAACAGAAGACATTCCCTCTTTGTATTGCGGACCACTGAATCTTGCATTAGCGGCTGCAAAAGCACTTTGACATTTGCGAGAGGCTTCCATGGCATTATTAACATCCTGTGCCTAAAAGAATAAGAAAATCCTTAAGATCTGAACTGAATGTAAGAATAGAATGTCTACTTTATATGTGACCCATAAAGGCCCAGTTCGTAAAAATGGGTAAAAAAAACTACTTGGTTGATGTTGGATGATGACAAGCCAAAAAAAGTCAAGAGGATTATCTACAAGCAGGATCGAAATTATGTAAATCCAAATCAATGGAAAAAAAAAAAAGAATCTTCAAGTATATTTGCTTCCGGCAATCTATTTAAAACCATGTATCACTCTGAAAATACATATGGTTATCCAAGCAGTAACCATTTGACCATGCAACATAAAACTGCTGTATTCAAGATACTATGCGGATGCCCTAGAATATAGACAAAATGGTCCAAAACAGATGCTGTATGTGACATATGAGTTCCTCATGTTATCGATCTACAAGTAGTTGATCTTATATCAGTAAAAACACAACCCTACCTGTATTTTTACAGTGCAATAAGTGTCGCAAGAAAGTTTATGATAAACCAAAGTTTCGAAATGTACTTACATAGCTGATTAGTCGCATAAAACTAGCACGGTTTTTAGGTGTTAAAACTTGATTCCCAGCCACTTGAGGAGAATCAACATTCTTGGTTTGCACACCTTTGTCACCCATCACTGGGTTGTTCAGATTGTCAACATCAGAGGCAGAAGAGGAAGGAGATTCACCTGATTATTGCAGACAAGGTGTCTAATAGGTCATTGCCAATGCCAAAAGAATGGTCAAATCATTTAAGATAATCAAAAAAGAGAATTACGGAGACTCCTCCATCATAAATTAGATCTCAATTCAACCAACTTTATTATTTTTTGTTTTAATTAAAAAAACCCACCCAAGTTGGCTCCTCATAAATGTGGGAAATTCCCCCCTTAGCATCATAACCCCCCTGGCTGCAATTTAATTTCCATCCAACCAACTTTGATTCGATAAGCGATAAATCTAAATTCAAATAGACCTATATAATGATTGTTCCATTTCAGCCAAATCAGAAAAAGAATTTTTTTAAATGCATATGAAGAGAACTAGGTCTAGGAGACAACATTTAATAATCATACATCTGATCGAAATTTTAGGAGATCTTCAATGTATTAAGAGCCTAAAACCGCTTGGATGACTTTCCAGGAAACGAAAACATCAAATGATAAGAATCCAGAATAAAACTAAAAACCTTCTAAGCAAAAGCTGGACAATGACATCCCGTAAGGCGTAAGCCAATACTAAATCAATAAGCCAACTGTAGTTGCCACAGAAAAGCTCATCCAAACTAATAACCTGTAGCATTCACAGAAGGATTCACATACCTGTTGGAGATATTTGCAGCGCTGTCAGCAACTCGTTCCGACACTTACTTGCACTGTTATTTGATGTATAAACTACTCGCAGGTATGCAACTTCCATGCACTTATAGGCTAGAGCAGCAGCAGCCATATCTTTGGATTTTTCATATTCATGGGCACAAAACCTGCAAAGGAAGAGGAATACCAAATAAGAAACCAGATTAGCAGGACATTATGGAGACTAGAGAGTTACCTTCCTATGACAACAAAACTACCGATAACGAGTGCCCTTGAAAATCTAAGCAGGGGGCAAGCAGACACAAATAAAACCTACATACAGGCCCTTATCACAAACTATCACATTTAATTCAGGGTTATTTATATAACAAAAAGTCTTTCTTTAGCCGTCATGAGGAAAATGATGTACAGTTCGTTAGGTACGGTGCATAGTACTGTCAGCATAAAGAACTCAGCCAACATTCTCAGAAGCAAAACCAACCAAAATAAATCAACCAATGACCCACTAAAACCTACAGAGCACAGGAAGATACAAGTAAAACGACACAAAAATGACAAAAAGACCCAAAAAGCTTCCAGCTCAACATACTCGCAGAGTTTTGCAGTGCTGCTATAGATTTGCACTGATCGAATCTCACTGTTGCCAGACTCTAATAGAGACGCTCCATGAAGAAATTTCAGAGCAGCTTGAAAATAATAACCTGTACTGTCGGGTGATCCAGAGTTCTGCAAAAATAAGGTCAGCTCAGACAACGCCTGGTGAAATCTATGCATCAAACTGCAAAATAAAAGGCAAAATAAAACCTTCAGACGATCAGCCAAATGTTTCAGGTCTTTTGCTTCTTTAACGGCATTCGTAACAGCCTGATTTAACGGATCTTTGCGAGCAGGACTGGGGGCATCAATGTCTCGGGGCTTTGAAGTAGGCGGAGTAGGATGTCTCATATTGTCATGTTGGTTTCCATTTTGTTTATCAGCTTTTTTACTCTGTTTTGATGCCTTCGACGTTTCATTGAGTTCTTCACATTCTCCGTATTCTTTCTGAGATTCAGCAATCGGATGGAGACGAGTCCCTGAATCAGTTTGACCTCTTACTAAAGGTGGTAATGAGTGTGATTTCCCCCTTCCAGGAACCTCAGTTGTAGTTTTATCCGACTTCCTTGATGATCTATCAGTATCTGAATCCTGCGGTACATTTTGCATCTCACGGCTTGACGAAACATCAGGTCCAGAAGCTGTACCATCACGACCACTGATTGGCAGTTGACTCTCCACCTTAGAATTATCAACTAGTTTTCCAGTAGACTCTTTCTTAGAAATGGAATGTTTTTCGGTTCTATCTGAACTTGAAGCAGATTTCTCCGGAAATTTGTTCCTCCCGGCCTTAATGTATTCCTCACGTGCAGCTTCATTACCATTACTACTACCTTGACCAAGTGCACCGGTTTTGCTGTTAGGATTTCCATATTCTGAATCCCTTTCCTGGAAATCACGTACAGTAGATTCCAGGGTGCTGGGATGGATACCCTTGAAAGAATTATCCTTCGTTTTTAGTGATTGATCACCCACCCCAGTATCTTCCCTTTCAAAAGATTTTCTAGCACTAGCAGCGGCAAAGATCCCAACATCTTGAGAATCGTCCCTTCCAGCAACACTTGTTCTTACCTGAGATGATTTTTCTGCTCCAGATAGCCGGAATGGTGATGATGACACTGATTCAACTGGCGAGTCTTTCATTTCCTGGAGGCTGGTTTTACTTTTACGTGAACCAGAAACTTTTGAAGAACTTGAAGTAGCAGCCAGCGAAGGTTGCCCCTGACCTACAGGGTCCATGCTGCGCCGAGGTGGAGTGCAATCTAGATCGTGCCCCAATTTATGGTCTGTTGTGCCTCTACCCCTTTTACCAGATACACTGACATGTTTGCTTCCACTGGAGTCTTTCCCCTCCGACTTTGATACTCTTAATTTCTTCTCCTTCCTGCGTTCATTCTCCTTGGTATCCTCTAAATATGCCCGGCTTCCCTGAGAATGACGCTGAGAACTCTTTGAAGGCACACTGTCCACATCACCATGATAATGTTCTCTACCTTTCCTCTTCTTCAACGAAACATCAGGACCAGACTTGTCAATTTGCACTGGACCATCTCCCGATGATACAGAAGACTTCTTTAGGTCACTTTTTGAATCCTTCGGCCCGTTGCTAGATCTGCGAGAATCCTTGCCTGATACACTACTGGAGCTTCGACCTCCTTTTGAGGCAGCCCCTCCAGGACCAGAAGTGGGAGTGTCATCTCTATTTTGTCGATCTTCCATCTTTATCTTCTTAGAAGCTCTTGGGAAATCTATATCGTTCTCTCTTCGGTCCTTCATTCTTGATTTCATTTCCGTACCTGTACAATTGAATGCATCATGGTTAGTCCTGTAGAAGAAATGATTGGAAAATTAGAGAGTTCACCGATATATACCTTCTTCACTATTACTATCAAGGAGAACTCTTTTCTCCTTGTCTATCCCATATTTATCTCCAGACAGCCCATTCAGCGGCTGCTCAGCATACCGGGATACAAATTCCTCAACTGATGAGTGGTTTAAATTACAATTTCTACTTTTTGCACTAGCTTGGAGATTGTTTTCAAGATTTGAAGATGGTACTGGACCATCCTGGCTAGTGGTACCCATTACATCTTTTGTTCCATATTTCCTCTTCCCACCAGAAACATTAAAATCTTCATTAGATTTCCCAGCATCACTTGGAGATTCTCCCAATGAAGTCCTACTAGGATGTGCAAACTGATCAAGTTGACCACCAGAAGCAGGAGGAGGAGGCACCAAAGAAGCCTGGGGTTGGTAAAGGGCCCTTAAAGCAGTTGTTGTCTCCTCCTCACTGATGTTACAACGATTCATTCCAGGCCTAAAAGACAAGTTGAACAACTTAGTCCAAAGTTCATTACAAAAAAGCAGCTGCATGGTTATAAGGGAGGAAAAGATAGAAAATAGGAATATCCATTATTGTCTTATTTCAATCAAGGACAGCCATCAATTAGCTTCACAAGGAGGTCAGCAATTTTTAACAATTTGCTGTAATGATCCAGCCAATTCGTCAAATTACCCCGACCCCAAGACTTAAAAACTGAGGTGGAATGCAAATAGCACAAACCAATGAAAAGTTGCTAGGAGTATCACGTATATTTCCAACAATGAGACAATAGAGCCAAAAAAAAGGACAGAGAGAGTGACAGAACTTACAGCCAGTCAAGCATACTACAGAGCCACCTATCGGGAAGACTCTCAGGATTTGTACCAAGTGGAAGAAGCCTCCAGGTATGGCACTTGTCACACTGGACCCAATCTTCTTGAACAAGGGGGGCCGCCACCGGAGCAGCCGCATCATGGCTAGGCCATTTCCCAGGGAGAGGTGGCCGAGATGAAGGTAACTTTGGATGGCTCCCTATATGACTGAACCTGTCATTAGAATTGTTACGTCCAGCCATGCTCCTCTTTTCAACTAACTCGGAGTCTTTGACCTTTGGTGGTGGATTCATTTCTTCTGAAGCAATTTCCTCATCATACTGTTCAATATCTAGCTCTCCAAAAAAATCTTTGTATTTGTCGGTGGTCTTTCCATTTACCCTCTTCAGAACATCTGAATTCGAAATCTTCTTAGCCTTAGCCACCGAATTATCAAGTGAGCCATTTTCTGAAAACTCTGAGCCTGGGGCAGGTTGACTCTGGCTTCCTTTTGATTTCTTTTTGCCTGAGGACAAAGATGGCAACTCCCCAGGAACTGATTTTAAACCATCGCCATCATGAGATACAACTTTCTGATCAACCTTCTTCTTTAAAACATCCTCGTAGTGTGACGGAACTTTCTGACCAATCTTCTGCCTGGGCGGCAAATTGTCAAATACGAGAGATTTCGTGTCTTCAGTTACATCCAGATCACTTTTCACCAAAACTTCAGTCTTCGTTTCGTAAGACGAATTTCCATCACCAGGATGTGGTTTTCTTGCCTTCTTGTTTAACTTCTCGACCCTACCACTATTCTGTGCTACAGACTCCAAAAATTCGTCTTCCACCACATTAGACGGGGAACCATCTTTTACCAAACTTTTGATTCCAATTTTGGAAGTAGTAATGGACTTTGCAGCATCTTTTGCTGAAACATCATACGATGACGTGGACAAAAGTGGGAGTTTAAGAGCATTTGAAACAATTTCTTCGCATTCTGAACTATCTATATCGTCCATCTTCTGTACAGTACCTAAGCCATTTCGATTATCCTGATTAACATTGATTGGTGGTTCCAATAAACGAGTAGATTCCGCCCGCAACTTTGGTTTCTTTTCTCCTGAAGAAGCAGGATTGAAGCCACTCACTGACAATGTAGATCTCCCAGATTTAGTCTTAGAAGGTTTTGGATAATCCTTCCCCCGAAGGTCCCCACTTTCAGTCAATTGAGTCACATCATCAGAAAGTGGAGACAAGAGCAGCCGTTCAAAAGATCTGATTGATGTCATAATCTGTAGACAAGCAAAAACGGTGAAATTGATATCATTAGGATAGTATTAAAAAACTCAAGAACAATAAGTTGAGGCGCAGACAAACAACCTGCAGAATGCTGGTAGGTGATTCATTTGGGATCTCCTTAAGATCTTGATGCAACACTTCGCTATCAGTAGGGCTGTTAGATGATGATGGAGAAACATCAAGTCCAAGCCCACTATAGATTTCAGCATTTTTGCAAGTCGACGAGTTGTCCATGCCAACTTTAATTCGAAACTTCAGAGCTTTTTGATCAGGAAAATTGGCCACTTTATCAGGTTCAACTTTTGAAGGCAATTTGTCAAAATTGTTAGTTACATCACCTATGCCCTGAATCACTTGATCATTTCCATAAGAGGCTTTTAACTCAGGACCAGCGGAAGAAGTTACCCTAGGCCCAGATGATATGAGGTTACTTGATGCCTGAAGCGAATTTCGCCGAGCACCCTGTAAATAACCCAGCTTAAAGTGCTCATGTTAACAAATGCTTTAAGCTATACAAGACACCCACACTAGTGCACTCAAAAAGGTCTACCTCATGGTGCATATTGTTCGGGGATCTTGGTTTCATCTGGTTAGCGACTTCGGTAGGAAACCGCGGGTAGGTAGGCAAAAATGAACCATACATACCAAACTTAGCACCTGCCAATGCACAAAATATCTAGTCATCACCTCATAATTCTAATCCACACAACACTAAATACTTTGCATGAGCTCTTTGTATGACTAACCCAAATCTTCTGTTGATACCACGCCTTCAAATTCTTTTTGAAAATGTCCAAGAACATGCTGTAGTTTCTCATCCTGGAACGTGTACAAAAATCTCTCAGAGCCATTACAAAATACATCGGCACAACATAGCAACACAAATACATATTAATACCATTATATCCACAAGATGAGCTCTTATAATCGTTGAAACATATCCACTCCATGTTTTCATATATATACATATACATATATATATATATATGCAAACAAAACCAAATTGACTGATCCAAGCCAAGCCATCACCAACAAATTTTACACATTAAACAAAAGCCTATGGCAAGATCCTTCCTCTGATTCGTGCATGGCGGTGCTTCAACGCACCAGGGGGGCTTTTATAAACAGATTTTATTCATAGATAAACAAACCAGAATCTTAGAATTGTGTCAGCTGAATGCCCTTAAATCAAGAATATAGTCTGTGGATCAAATTTATAATCCTATGATCAAGCTACTACTATTTCCTAGCGCACTAGTTGTCAGTGAATCACCTAAAGAACCCAATCCAGATGGTTAACATAAAATAGGAAAATATCATCAACAAAAGTATGCCCAAGCCTTAACATTCTTATCTCTGATGAGCTCAAGAGTAAAACTCCTAGTTCAACAAATCAACTAACTAAAACCCACAACATAAGAGTTAAACCTCCTGAATTGAAACGTCCAATGCAAACAAGAAAACCTGATAAATGCCTGACGTATTGGCATAAACACTATTCAGCCAATAAATTCTTTACACAGAGTAACCAGAGCTTCAGAAATTGATAGAATTAACTTATGAATATGTAAATCACAGAAGTAAGATAAAACAAAAGGAGAAAAAGGAATGAAAAAGCTTACAAGATAGGATAGGTCAATATCAGGGTCAATCGACGCATTAAACGAAGCTTCTCCTTCCTCGAGTTCAGTTTCTTCCATATCTCCGTTTCTGAACCCTAACTCCATCCCTTTTCTCCCACCATTCCTAACTCTACTACCACCTCCTTTAACAGAAATCATCCAAAAGAGACACTAAAAACAACACAATGATAATAATTGAATTAAAAAAAAAAAAAAACCAACAATTACAGCTCAAACGCAGCTCCTCCTACAAAGCTCCCCACACTCTCCTTCTATCTCTCGAACAAGACAGAAACGGAATCTCAAAAACTCCATAAATTCAAAAAAAAAAAAAAAAATCCTCCGTTTGACTCCCGATCGGAACCTCGATGCAACCAACCACCAAAAAACACAAACAAACCTTTTATTGTTTTTTATTATACAAATAGTATAACAATCACCAAAAAATTCAAATTTGAAGGAATTTGAAAGATATTCTGGAAGTGAGTAAAGGAGATCCTGGGTCAAAGCTCTTCGGCTTCGTTATTTCATAGTTCGGATCGTTTTGGTTCTTTCTGGGAAGAAGCTCGAATTCGATGAGCTGAGAAGAGAGAGGAGAGAGAAAGAGAGAGAGAGGGAGAGAGAGAAACGGGGTGGTTTGTTTAGGTAGTATTGCAGCCGCGTTTCTTTTCTTTCTTTTTTTTTTTTTTTTTTCTTTCTCTCTTTTTTTTTTTTTTTTGCTTTTTTATACAGTAATTAAATTAAAATTTTCCTACTTCGGGGAATTTTTTTGGGAATAATTAGTAGAGTAGTTTTCAGGTACATAAGGTAATTAAAAATAGAATAATTTTAGTTATTAGTGTAGGGAAGAAGTGGTCTTTTTCGGCGATCTAATAATACCTTTTTTCTTCTTTTCTTTTCTTTTTTTTTTTTTTAACAGCAGTAGATTTCCTGTCAAACAAGACAACGGCTTTCCTCAATTCTGTAGAATTGGATAGTAACCTCAACAAACTTTCCCCTTGTACCACCCGAGTAACCGGAGCGTGGGGCCCACGCCGTGAGGACAGTCCAAATGAACAAATATGGTATGGTCCTCGATGGAGATTCATCAATTTATTCACCTACATTTTCAAAAATATAATTATCATTTACAAAAACATATATTATATTCTTTTTCATATACATTTCATCTCTTTTGCATCATAATAGACGTTAAAACTAATTTCATAACTTCAACGCGAGTCTAACACGCGAGTCTAACGTTTTACGTGTCAATTAAGCTATTAATTTGTGTTTTAGTTACGTAATCAAACGTATAATATCATAAAGTTTATTCACGATGTCTAGAAAATATCATATCGACAAACAAATTATCATGTTAATGACTAGCTTTTTATAAAATCGAAAAATATTTAAACTTAAAAATTAAGGGCAAACATAAGATTTGTTTCACAAATGATAGTCGCATAATTTTAGCAACTATCCGTCTATACTAAATAAAAGAAACACTTTACTTATATATATGGTCGGATTATCCTTGTATTTTTCTTCTATGTAAATCTTCTATCCCAACAAAATACTTCATATTGAATTTTAAGGGTTATTTTTTGGAATAGAAGGAGCATATTTATTTTTTTTTTTCCTGTGATCAAGTGTCAAAATGTAGTACGTTTTTCATTTAATGAATTACTATGGTTAACAATAATCAATGAGTATAAGGCTCTACCAATCTATTATAGTATTACAAATATTCTTAGGCCAACTATAGAAACACATTGAAACGGATGAGTTTAAAAAATATTATTCATAACATGTTATTTTGAAAAATCACTTTCTCCTCGAATTTGAAATTCCTTCAAGAGATGGATTAAAAATGCTTGTTTTGTTCTTTACTTTTGATTGTTTAATGAGTGAATAGATGAGTACTTCATGCATCTAATTAATGGGGATTTTGAGTCTTTAAAATTAGCTACATTATCGAAATAAATAAATTACAGCTTTTAATCAAAATCCAACTCATCTATGTACTCCTGTGGAAAAAAAAATTCACTTTGTTATACTGAAAGTTATTTTACTCCTGATTGAAAAAAAATAATAATAAATTTACTTTTTTATTCTGAAAATATTTTTTTAGTACGAAAAGAATATGAAAATTTGAAAAGACAGAGAAGCGCGTGAGGAGGAAGGAGTTGAAAGTTGAAACAACTCATGTCTATCTAATCTGACCTCTCACCTCTCTCCGATGTCAGAGTTAAGCTTGAGCCGATTGGATGGACGCTTGGCTTAATTTACGATTTTGATCCCATGCGTTGAATTTCACTGCCCCCACGTGGTATTTAATGGCAGCCACACAAGAATTTTTGGATACTCTTTTATTACTTTCACTTTGATTTCTCCACAAAACATTTACTACAATGCTTAACGACATTGCAAAAAATTGGAGTACTACAAAAAAGTTCTTCACTTTGATTTTTAATTAAGGTAAGAGTATAAACACTATTCCAAACTCTCCCAAAATTTCATAAACACTATTAGTATTTTACTACCCAATAGTCTTAATAATCAAATCCTTAATCATGCCAACTGATCAAAGTTAGCAGAAATGAGGTTAGAGAACTACATAATTTAACATATAATACATGTCGTTGTAATAGTTTAAGTACTTCTAATACATGTACCATTTTTTTAAAAAAAACTTAATCTTTTACTAAAATTTTGTCCAGTATCAATCCCTCAATTACAAAAACTTTTGTTATCCTGTCATCGGAATTCAGAAAGTTTAATTTGATGATTTACAATTTAGCGCGAATAAAAATTACTAAGTACTCTTTCCGTCTCTAATTGTTCAGTTTAGATTTTCACTTTTTGTTCAGATTGTACTAAAAATGAAAATTCAAATGGAACAATAATTTCGGGACAAATAGATTATTTTTTCAGTGAACTCCTTCCGTCTCTAATTGTTCAATTTAGATTTTCACTTTTTGTTCAGATTGTACTAAAAATGAAAATTCAAACGAAACAATAATTTCGGGATGAATAGATTATTTTTTTAGTGAACCATTTGTTCACGGAACTTTTGAGGAAATTTATCAAATGATGTCGTTAAGCTGGTTTGATTAAAAGGAACTCCCAGTGCAACTTAAAAATAGAGTAACACGTGGCAAGTTACGTACTTTAAAGATTTTGCTGATGTCAATAATCCATTCATTCAACTTGACAAAACATGCATAGTTTAGTTGCAACTTAAGGAGAATATTCCAAAGGATGTTAGAATGATTAATTGGGTTGGACTCAATTATGTAGATATCACTACATATTGGATATGCAATTTACTACCCTTCGCCCAATGATGAAAAGTCCAATATATATCTTTAACATATTCTATTTCTAAAACAAATGTCCCTTATTAACTGTTTCAAGAAAAAAATGTCACTATAACACAGATGCGTTTTTCGGATTCAGTTATTTATTACTTATTATTATATATTAGTCTTGTTTTGTAAAATAAAATTAAAAACTAAATAAACTATACTAGATGGAGTAATATTAGTATGTAAAATAACTTTTATCTTCATACCAAAATAGAAATTGCAAAGAGAAAAAAACGCCCAATGATAGAAACAGTGAAAAATTCACCATAAATTATGAGTACCTAATAATTAAAGGTACAAAATATGATTTTAGGAGAAAAATAAAATTCTAAGAGAAAAATACCAATAAAATAAGGTTCATAATATTTCATATCAGTCACTTTTTTTTATTTGTTTTTTTACTATCCATATCATTTTTCACAAAAAAAAAAAAAAATGTTGAAACTGAAAGGGAAGAAAAAATGAGCACGGGGAAAACCGGCGAAGGCTCCTGGTTTTATACGGTACTCGTTGATTTTGTATTGCTTCATAATTGGCGGCTGCTGCTAACTTCATTTCATGCCAAACCGTCCTTATCTTTTGACGGTCGTAAATAAAGTTCCAAATTCCCTGGGAAAATTGACCTCTTTTGAAATAATGAGCGAAAAAATGCATCAATATCCTTAATACGGATACTCCCTTTATTTTAAAATATGGGTTACTTTAGATTTTACATGTAAATTAAGGAAGTAATCATTTAATAATTAATTTGTGTTAAGATTCTATTTTACCCATCATTAATTGTTTTAGAATTATAACTAATACTAAATGAAAAGTGGTTAATATTATTTAATTATTAGGGGCAAAGTTGAAAAATTAGTCTTTAATTTAACTTGTAATCCTAAAACGACTTTGAAATGGAGGGAGTAGTATTCTTTTGTTACAAACGAGACCACATTTTAATGGCAGGGAAATGGAGAATCTAACTTCATGAAACCCTAGCATTGTTGTTGTCTTTGATTCTCGTGGCATGAAATAATCCGTTATTAAAAGTGTGCTAAAAAGTAAAAAGAAAAAATGTCAGGAAAAGTGAAAAACTATAAGAAGGGCAAATCCATTGAGAGGATGACAGATTGTGAAGCCTGAGTGAGCCACTCTGGAAATTGGTTTCTTTACTTCTGGTTGGTCAGCGCAAACCACAAGGAGACAAGAACCTATCAAAAGGAAGGAGGTAGTGAAGTACACTTGTTACGTCAGGTTTTTGACACGTTTTAATCGTGTACCCGCATAGAGAAGCCGTCTTCATGCGATCAATTTTAATAGTTCACCATATTAATTAAAATCGGATGGATGGAGGAAATATTTTATTTAAACTACAGTTTTATCTTCTATTCATTTTCATCCATGTTAAATAGTACATTATTTGATTTTTTAAATAAATGTAGCATTCAATAGTGTTTATATGAAGAAAATATGGTTTATACATACATAATAAAGTTTTAATTCGGACTTCATCCATCCTATAAAATAAATTACGAGTATCTCATCAAAATTGTCGGGGAAGTAGTGTTATCTAATTTTAAAATGAATATATGCTCTCATAAGGTTGGCGAAATGAATCAATTTACTCGTAATTTTGTTACGTGTAACTCTTAAAGTACAAAAATGAAGTTGTGTGTGTATTTTTTTTATTTTTATTTTTCAGTAAACAATGGTATTAGATGTTTCAAGTACAAAAAAGGGACCTTTTTTTTTACTAACCGCTAACTGGAAGGATTTACAAACATCTGCCTTACCAAACCAATAAGTACAGATTACCTAACAACTCTCCCTTCCTAATCCTAAACGAGCAGAGTACATTCGTGTTTTTATTTTTTAAATCATAATTATGAATTTGGTACATTTGTTACACTTACATTCCTTTTACAAACGGATAGAGAGCTCCATCAGATGCGTATCACATTCTGTGCCATTCATCTTGACGATGCTCCTTCAAACTGCTCTCGCAGCCGTTCATACTTCTGCAGTTCCGCCATTGAAAGGGAGGGAGACAGGTCTTCCAAAACCTTTAAACACGATTCATGAGTTAGATAACTTTGAATATATTACAGGAAAACCATGACGATGCCATGCTATGATTAGAGGGCAACCAACAGTTCACTTTTAAGTTTAACATCTTTTTCACAACATAAGACATGAACGAATGCAAAGGTTAAGAACCATCCGGCTCACGCAAGCACAGTGCGACTCTAGACGCTAAAACTACTTAACATGCTGAGAAAGAGATAGGTACAAACCTTGATGAAGTCATTATATCCAACGATGACTGCATCACTATGTTCACTTGAACTGCTCGAATCAGAATCAGCCGCTAACACCTGCAGTCATTGCACACCGGGAAGTCAGAAAAAACATGGATCCACCTTTTGGAATTTTCAAGAGGACCAAATAGAAGATTTAGAGTTTCCCAACAGACACTAATATTATATTGTGGTGGTCATTAGACATAATGCATGGCAAGCACTCACCTTCCGTTTTGCGGCATGAAACCAAGCGTCGGCACACAAGGCATACATGTCAGCACCAGTAAAGTTCGGAGGGCATCTTTTGGCTATAGAGTATAAAGACACATCTTCATGCAGCTTAAATTTCCGAGTAAGTGCTTTAAGTACCCTGGCAAAATTTCAAAAAGAAAAATGAATCATTTGCTGGCACAGATCTCAGCGGCACATAGTACTTAAGTGAACTGGGGTAACCTCTCTCTGTAAGATGTTTCAGAATTTACACCAACATAAAGAAGCTTATCAAATCGTCCAGGCCTCAAAAGTGCCGGGTCAATCAGATCAGGTCTATTGCTTGCTCCTATAATAAACAAGTCCTGATAACCAGAAGAATTCAGAGATGAAAGCTATTAAATGTTAAAATAAGGAAAAGGAAACAATTGCCAATGTTATAACCAACCTGAGATGAGTCATTCAGGCCATCTATCTCTGCAAGCATCTGGAAGAAGTGGATGTCAAATATTAAAACAGGTGAAGAAATGAGGTGGAACCATTGCGAAAAGAAAGGGTACAGAACCATCTTTACCTGAGAAACAACCCGGTCCATAACACCTCCAGAATCTCCAGAAGCTCCTCTAGCAGGTGCAAGAGAGTCAAGTTCATCAAAGAAAATAACACATGGCCTGGCTGACCTTGCCTGTTAATAGGTTTGATTCAAAATTAAAACGTGCTACTGAAATCGAAACTTTTCATGCTCAGGATTAGAAAACATGGAAAATAACACATTACCTTTTCAAAAATGTCTCTTACATTCTTTTCAGACTCTCCAATGTACATGTTAATTAACTCAGGCCCTTTCACACTAAGGAAATTTAGGGAGCATTCAGTAGCAACAGCTTTTGCTAGTAAAGTCTGACATTTTAATAGACAAAAGATATGGTTATGGAACTGAATAATTGTAAATCAAAGAATATAAGTGGGAACATACTTTTCCTGTCCCTGGAGGACCATAAAGAAGAACCCCTGAACGTTTGCGCAATCCTGATGAAAACAAATCTTTGTGCAGGAGAGGCAGCTGCAGGTAAGATTAGACGAATCAATAAGAAAAAAAGTTCCTTATCCAAAACATTGGTATACAAAACACATACATAAATAGGTAAACCAAAATTTGAAACACGGCTATAATATTTGTCTCAAATTTAGGACAGCCAGAAATTCTCTCTCAACAAATCCAGATCAACCTCAAGTAACAAACATCTCTTATACAAGCTAAGGCTATGCAGAAGGAAGAAGTCAAAAAACATATGGGCTTAAATGAAATTAAGAACACAGAATAAATAGGATTTTAAGAGCTTCACCTGAACAGTGTCCAAAATTGATTTCTTAACATCTTCAAGTCCACCAACATCTTCCCATTTGACATCAGGAACCTGCCAATCAAACTCAATAAGACAACCATCTCTCCACAAAGATGTAAAAAGAGTTAGCTAATTGAGATCGAGTTATTGGACTCTCCAAACAAAGAACATTGATGACACCTAGAGCACAAATTTGTCAATTTCAGGGCATCCTCATCGGCAATAGAATGCAAATAAAATCTATTTGAGAAGAGAAAACAAAGGTACCACCAGAAACAAAAAGAAGTATTACAACAACCAATGGCTTTAATACCTTAGGAGTACCAAGAGCTGAAGCATTTCTTTTCTTAGATTGTTCAAGTGCTTTAAGTAAGTCATCTTTTGCTAAAATCCTCGGTGCATGACTGGTTGACTGGGAATCCTCTGTTTGCTTAGACTCATCCGAGCTATTATGCATTTTTTCAGGTTTTGGAGAAGAAACTAGATTTACACCTGCATCAGCTACCAGTGCTTGCAGATCCCTGGGCATAAAGCCTGATGTCTGCCCCACCACATCTTTCACAAAATCCTCAGCAGAAACCTGCGGAAAAAATGATCTGATCCATCAAAGTCAATAGGCAAGACACAAAGACAAAAGCAAAAGAAGAAACCAACCCCATCTCTCACGCATGGTTTTCATTTGGTTTCCAATTTTGTGGTTCATCTGTCGACAGCTTATTCCTCAATGTTTGAAGATTCAACAGTGTCACTGCTTAATGTTTAAACTCAACAAATTTGAAATCTTGAAGGTATGGAAATTGCTCAAGCCTACCAGTCATTCATGCAAGCTGACATGCAACGCCAGTTTATGTCTAACGCAATTCTGGCAATTATACTTCATGGGTTGCAATTATGAAATTATAGAGAAAAAACTTTCCAAACCACAATAATTGAGGGCTGGAACTGCTGAACTATCAAACATTAAAGACTAAAACTACCAAAAGGTCCGTTTGATTAGGAAATTTCAAAATTTCTTCTGAATATAGATGCATCGACACAATGACAAACAAATTCACCTACATTTTCGAGCAGTTCAGGAACCTGCTGAAGCAAATGGGAAAGTATTTGACTTCTTTGCTCTTCATTCAGAGGTCCCATACTGATCTCATGACTAAAACAACGTCTAATAGTTGGTGGCAACCCTTCAGAACTGTCAGCTGCGGCAACTAATAATAATGGGTGCCTGTAAGTCCTATCAGAATCATTCTGCAAGAAGCATAAACAAAACTACAAAGTTAACTCTCTTGATTGAATATCTGAACAAGGAAAAATAACTATGTCAACTAGGAGTGCAGACTGCTGATAGAAATTCCCTTGAAGTGCAGTTATGCTATTGTATCAAAGATTTATGTCAATTGTTTTCATTTATTCAGGAAAAAGTGAAAGTGATTTCTTTGAGTTACAAATTTCTCTTCCTAATGGGGGTTTCAGTAAATAAGGTTAAAAAAAATCAATATTTTCAAGAGAGGTGGTGCAGCTGGTACAGAATTTTGTGAATCCAATTTGGATTCTCTTGAGTTTTACTCGGGCCAGAAAATATGAGGTAGGAAAGTAAATTTTAGTTCAGGAAAAAGCGGTAAAGAATACTTTGACGGTTCACAGTTCCTTCTAATTGCTTTCTGGCAACAGAAATCTCCTTTAGGATCTACATAAGTATCTACAAAGCTTTCTCCAACCATTTTATGAAGGTTCATATAGAAATCAATTTGGGAATTCAACGAACCCTGTGTGCAACATGGGGAATGGAAAACCATCGGCGACGAGATTAAAGTTAAGTTAATTAACCACATAAAACTTAAACAGATCTACGGAGATCAATTTCATATGTGAAAAAGGAAAAATGTAAATGACATAGAAGCAATCCGATCTTACAAAAGAGCTATCATTGTCATCCTCAATAACAGGTTCAGTAAATTGTTTAATAACAGCTGCAACTTCAGCATTGACACCAAGTTGCTCATGTGGAGATCCCTCATGACCCAGGTCCCGGAGAACATCGAAATGGCGAAGAAGAAGAATTGTGGGGGAGTATCTGTTTCATATTTCAAATGGAGAAGAAAACTACGATCAAGACAATGTCTAAAAAAAAGGAAAAGAAAAAGTGCAATTGTGTGATAGAACTGCAAGAAAAATAACACTTCTGAAATATTTCCTTTATTTAGAGATTTCCGTCCACATTTCTAAGTCTAAATTCTTCCTCTAACACACTATTGACACTTTGAAAGTCATTTCTAGGAAACATGAAAAAAACAACAAAACAAAGGAAAAAAAAAGAAGAAAATGTTGATGCCCTTGGAATAAATTAAACAATTGTCTAATAGATGAAAAAGTGAAAGCATTGTATACCAATAACCCCAGACATCTCGAGGAGAAAAAACGAAAATTTCTAATGCCACCAATGCACTAAAATTGAGATATGGAACACAATGAAATTGTTGACGCCTCAGGAAAATGCAATGTAGAAATATAAAACAGTTCAAAAGATAGAGCAATATCTATCAACATGCCAGAACACTGGAGGAGAGTAGTCAAAAATCAAGTATACAATTTTGTAGTGCCCTCAAAATGAATCAAAAGTTCAGATGTGATGCATATGAAAAATATGAAGAGGAAATTCAAGAGTGTATGGCATCACTATTAATTTAATTTAATAGTTTCTCGCGGGAAGTGAACCAAGAGTTACAAGGCATATTCCTCCACATGTTACCAGTAGTTCAAACAGAAAATAGGACAAAGTGCTCATTTCAAAAGATACCTGCGAGCAGCATTGAAAGCTTGAGCTAGCGAGGCAGACGTCTTTCTTTCAGAAGAGGACGATAGGTTATGGCAACTATACTCAACAACATGCACGCCCAATTGACTGGCCACAAATTTTACAACAGTTCTTTTTCCACAACCTGCAGTCAATTTAGTATCAGTGGTCAAAATGTCATATACTAATTACAACTGATTGAATTTGCCAAGGATTTCAGAAAGAGGAAAAGAATTCATAACGAACCACGCGCGCCATGCAGCAGAATAGAAACTCTAAATTTTGATGAAAGTGCTGAGGGACATAAAGGTGGTGCAAGTACGGAGGCCAACAACTTAACTACATTTTGGTGTACAGGGACAGAAAATTCTGGTCCACGAAACAAGAACGCAGGGGGAACAGCAGAAGCAACATTTCCTCCAAGGACAAGGGCAGTATGAGTACGGTTAACTCTAAGAACAGGTTCTTCTGATGGTTCCATAGCCACTACCTGAATAGTAAGAGTACCTACTAATAGATCAGTTTCCTGTAAAAAAAGTTTATAACCTATAAATATCTGACAATGATAAAAGATTATCAACCTTAAAGTATACAAGGTCAGTGGTGCCATCATGCATCTTCTTGCTGCAACTAACGCAAAGAGATGATCTGCAATTCCAGTTAATTGAGATGCGAAAGATGTCACCCCTGGATACATATCTGTCAACTGTGAAGTAGTTGTTCAACTCTAGATCAATCAACTCTTGGCGGTCCACATCATCAATATATGGACTTCTTTTAAGAGAGTCAAGGGTACTGCATTCAGGTATCCTCACAAAAGAAGCTCTGAGGTGGGAGGCATACTTTGGAACATGTGGCCAAGGTTCAAGTGCCAGGGTAATAGCAGAAGCATCACTTTCTTTACCATTTGCTTCTCCCTCCAACTGGTATCCTAGAAAAGATGAAAATGTTTCTTTGCCTCTATGAACAACAGACTTTAAGCATGACACGTGCAACCGAAGGTTGAAAAACAGAATAGGAGATAAATACGCAATCTGGGAATCCAATTGTGCATGCGGATTTTGTGGATAATAATAAGCTGGAAACAAACTCATTCTTTCAGGAGAATGAGTAGATAAAACATCATTCCCAGGCAACTTGTCATCAGGGCTAGGAGAATCAAGAGCAAAAACCTGCCCAACCTTACAGATGTTGCCATCACCATTCTTTACATAGATCTACACATCAAAAAAACATAACAAAGTGGAAAATTATTATCCCTCCGGCGACAGAAAAACCTGTTTATGCATGACTTATTACAGAAACAGACTAGTCTCACACAAGAGGAAAAAGGGGGAAAGGCGGTGAGGGGGGAGCATTGCAGTCCTGTAACCTAAAGTTGAGATACCTCTAATCTCAATTGGTGAAACCCGGACTGATCCCTCAACTACAAATTATCACGAACTAGTATCAAACTAACTTTCTATTTCATAAGATTCATTCCCTGCAATACTAATTAAAGCATACTGCTTGGCTAATGCACAAATGGAGGTGAAATAATCCATAAGTAAACCATTCAAAATTGCAGAAGGCATGCCAAGCACATCTGGAATCCACTCTTAGTTTCATATCAATGCTGGAATCGAAAGATAAAGATCACATATGCGAGGGACCCAAAAGTGACACCACTTTGGGAACAAAAACAATGTCCACCAAAGAGTATCTTTGTATTGATTACGCGAATAAGCATAAATCATTTACCATTATCACATCAAAACAAATAAATAGCTACGCAAAGTAGCTAAGACTGATGCTTGAATGTCAGGTCAACATATTTCTCTGTGCATCCCTATTGAATAAACTGACTTTCCTGGATGTAGGCACATCATTTATGAACTATATTCGCAATATTGATTCTCAAATCCGTCACTAATCCTAAGCATTAGAATTTTAAATGAATAACTGATTTTGTATAATAAAAAAACTCGTAGTCTCATTATAATAGGAAGTATATACCAATTCTTTTTCAAATTGTCGATTACACTAAATTAAATACATTTTTTTCTTAATCGATGCATAAAATTAAACGTGCTTCTTCATTTGGATTTGGGATCAGCAACATTTTAAACCGCCATCATATATGTATGTATACACCAAAAAAAAGAAAAAGAAAAAGAAAAGTAAAACAATAAGAATGAGAGCACAAAAGCTGGGACAAGCAAAATGGAAAGAGGAAGTATACCAATGAGCCAGAAGTAATGGATAATCTTTTGAGCGAGGAAATGGAGAGCCCGACCAATGCAGAGCCGTCAAGCGAGGATAGCTTACTCCTAGCACCAGCGCGTGAATCACCATCACTTAAACCCTCCTTTATCCGCAGAATTCCCGCCTTCAACTGCAGGGAGTTAGTCTCGGAGCCGTACCCGGCGGACAGAACCGGGTCAACCGCAATTCCACCACCATCTTCCAGTTGGACTCCGGAAGAAGTCAGTAGAGAGTTAACGAGAGCCCTGGTGGAAGAAAGCACCAAAGGCTTCCTTCTCTCCGCCACCACCATATCGGCCTGTCGATTCGCCGGAGCTGAAAAATGGTTTCCGGATTATACGATTCGAGAGTTTGATGATTCAGTCATCGGACAAGAAGATGACATGAACAGAGAAATTGAGCAAACCAAGAGGCTATGACAACAGATTGTAGCTCCAAAAAAAATTAAAATTAAATAAATATATATGGCGATAAAGTAACAATTTTACACCTTGAGTATGGGAAATTTAACACGATCAGTCCTTAAAGTTTCGTTCAGTAACAATTGAGGCCCTTTTCTGGGTATTTCCAAAATTGGTACCAAAGTGTTACCTATTTATTTTTTAGGGGGATGAAAAGAAATTGACTTTACCATTCCATGAGGGAGAAAAATGGTACTCCTTTCAGTCTTTAATAATATAAGGCATTTTGATTTGTTTATGTTTAACCTAGTACGCATCTTTAATTATCAAAAAAAACTTAAAAATATTTCATAACAATCCAGAGAATACAACAAATGTGAAAATATAATTTTTAAGATTTTTTCATCCATTAAAAATGCATACTAGGTGAAACTTACGACAAAATAAAAAAGTCTTATATTAAGAACCGGAGACAAAGTTCATCAAGATGCTTGTAAACTATGCAATAAAAATAGAATATGATAAATACGGAGAATCTTCTGGTCTTTTATTTTTACAATTGTTAAGAGCTCTATTTTCAAGGAAGAAAAAGATAATTTGCTTTTTTTTTTTTTTTTCTTCTGTTCTTGATAGAAATTTGAGTCTAAAAGGATATTTTTTTTTCTTGAAAAATAGATGTTCAATCGTGTCATCCTCCATCAAAATGAACAGGACAATGAATCAAATACTATCAATTCTTAGGATAGTTGGATCATATTTTATCTATTTATAAAGATCGCTTTTTTTAGGGTATCCAAACAAGTCAACTATGCGATAAAGTAAAATGTTAAGGAGGACACGTGAAAATAAAAATGTAAAAAAGGGAAAGGAAAAGAAAATAATAATGAAAAGACCAAACAGCCTGATAAAAACGCTAACGTCTTTAACCAACTCAAAATGCGGGCCGATTGTTCACATCAGGATTCAGATTCTCTCTCAATCTGCAACCTTTTCCTAAGTACCCGGGGAAGAAAGGATTGTAAGCATCTCTCTCAACTGATTTCTGGCAATTTTAGCTCTCCTCTTCGATCTTCAGTAATGCGCTCTCCTCATTTTTCATTTTTGAAATGAATGATTTAGCTTTTCCTCTTCTTTAATATAGTATGTATATATATATATATATATATATATATATATATTCTGGCCTCACAATCTTTAGGATATGCATAAAGGGACAAACTTTCCCTTTTCTTTATGTTTAATTTTGGTTTTTAAATGTGGGTTTTTGTTTTGTGTTCCTAATGTTTCCTTTGTCGGCTTCGTTAGCTTCAAGAATCACGTGGGTTTGAATGATTTTTTATTTGTATTTAAGAAAAAATGATTTTATCTATGTCGATTTGGTATAATATGCAACTGTTTGATCGTTGATTTTGTCGTAGATGATGTTTGTGATAATCTTTTCAGAAGTTGTATCAGATTGAGCATGACCTATCCTTGTTTTTATGAGTTGAAACTTGATTTCAATGAAATTAGTAGAATGGACTTTCTACTTTATCATATTGAATTCTACCTGGAAATATTATTCTCTTCCCAAGATTATAAGGGTTTATCGATAGACTGTTTTTCTTGATTTGTTGACAGCAGACACAGTTGCTCTAATCTTACTTCAATGCTGATCAGAGATGGTTATTTGTTTTTCAACCACTCAGGTTTTTGTGGTACCTCATTGATGACCGGAACTCAAGTTGCTTAGCTGATTCCTGCACTCCAAGTCTCCAACTATTAAGTTCTAATTCCAGTGTTGAAGCAGTTACCTGTGCGCATTAGAGTCATCAAGGTAGATTTTTTTACTTCCGTTTTGATGCCTTCTCTTTAGGTAGTCCTTACCATGTGACAAAAATGCGATTTTCCTTTGAGACTATGTGTTGATCTCGCGTGATATTTATGTATTTGTGCCTCTAATAATACGGAGATTTTGAACCACGGGGTTGTATTTTTCACTCACAGAAGAGTCTGGATCACAAGAATTTGTACTTCTTTTCAGGGGGAAGGTTCTTAATTTTTGGTCAATCATGCTTAAGATTCCAGAAAATCAGGTTGCTGGTCACTTTGCTCGTAATGGGAAGCTAGGACCGCTTGTAGATGGTTCTGGGCGTTTTTACAAGCCTTTACAAGGTGGTGATCGCGGGTGTTCTGAAGTTTCATTCTACACTTCATTTTCTCTAGACGGTAGAATCCCAGATCACATACGAAGATTCTTTCCTACTTTTTATGGCACTGAGCTCGTGGAGGCATCTGATGGTTCTGGACTAAAATCTCACCTAGTTTTGGAAGATTTTACTGCTGGTCGAGTTAATCCTTCTATAATGGATGTTAAGATTGGTTCCAGAACTTGGCCCCCACAAGCACCTGAGAAGTACATAGCAAAATGTGTGGAGAAGGATCATGGATCATCAAGCCTCTTGCTTGGATTTAGATTTTCAGGTTTGCAGTTTCATAGTATCAATGAAACAGGATTCTGGAAACCTGGTAAGAAGTCAATTCAAGGTTTTTCTGCAGATGAAGTTCAACTTGTTCTGAGGAACTTCGTATCTTCTAACACGTCCAAGGAGTTGGAATTGAAACCTGATTGTGCCTTTGCATCGGTTGTTTTTGGTGGTCCGACTGGGATTTTGTCACAGCTACTCGAGTTGAAAGCATGGTTTGAGGATCAAACCGTTTACCATTTCTTCTCTTCTTCGATTCATATTATGTATGAAAAGCAGCTTGCTTTACAAGGGAAGAATCCTAGGGCGGAAATTAAGCTTATTGATTTTGCGCATGTTGTGGAAGGGAGGGGCGTTATCGATCACAACTATTTGGGGGGCTTATGCTCTTTGATAAAGTTTGTATCGGAGATCCTTAAGGTCACTAATAAAGAATGTCAGACAAATGTTCTCCCGAAAGATGCTCAGAGAGACCATGATATGTCTGTGAATGGGACATACTGCTAATGTCTCCATTACTTTTCTGTTTCATACTTTTCGTCTTTGAATTCTCAATTCTTTCCGAATTAGTTGAAAAGAGAAACAGTGATCTTTTTTGTTACCCATGAATTGTGTAGGGTTGATTACGCATCTGTGTGCTTGTTTATTAGACATCTCTGCAATTTTCCTCCTGTTTTTGTTGTTCTTGATAGGAGGATTCAATAGCTACAAGAGTTAGACCTAAACTGAAAAGTAAACGAGAAAGAATTTTGCTGCACAAAGAGTCCTTTAATCTATGGCATTAGAGCTGCATATCAGAGACACTTTTTATATTCAATGTCAATACTACACAAAAGATCACCCCAGAAATCAATCTGGTCAGGCTTGCAGACAGTATTACATGGAAATTCCATGATCTTCATGCTTCTGGAGGATTATTATTAATCCATTTCTTCACCGTGGTAAATACTTATCAATTCAGGTAGAACTCCAGACCAGTTCAGGACATACCTATCCAAGAACAGGCGCTCAGAAATGCTTATAAAAGTACCAAAACTGAGATTCTCCTCAACCAAATGATACCGAATCAGGACCTGGATAACCTTACATCTTGGAATAATCCGTTTCTCCAGGTTGTACCGGAGGACGGTCGGCCATCGGACGACTGCTGCAGGCTGCCATTTCATCTCATTGATTAAAAAACCCATGGTGCTCATGATTTTCTTCTCAGAGCAGTCCATACACAGTGGCTGAGTCCTGAAAATGGTTAAGATATCCTCATCGGAAAAACCCCACCTCTGATAAATTTCCATCACAGGCTCAATATCTTGGTTTTGGAATCTGCAAAGGGCTTTCACAGCCTGAACAAATTGTCCCACTTTCGGATTAAATCCCATCTCAACCGCTTTATCAACACAGTTCTGGAAATTCTCCAGGCTCAAATGGGCCACACTTGTGTAATGCACCAAAAACAAACAGATAGCCGATTCCGGCACCCCGAGAGACCTCAAAACCTCAACTTTGGGACCAATGATTTTCTCCTCATCAGTCTGGAAAAACTTCCAGTAATTCTTCATCATCTTAACAATGTCTCTGTCTTTCAAATTCAGAGTCTTGAGGTAATTGTAGCTGGGGATGAGCCTTCCTTTCAGGCTGCTTTCTAAAATCGAAGGGTTGAGGGTAATGATGTCGGGAAGATCGGTCGGTGAGACGCCGATGGAGCGTAAGAACTCGAATTTGGGGACCAGGATTTTGTGTGGGTCCAGCGTGAGCGCTCGCGGGCGCAATGTCTGGAGTTTTGCGATGTGGGCATCGCTGAATCCGTAATCCCTGAGAACAGATTCCGTCAGCTCGGCTTTATACAGCTTTTTCTTGCTTCTCTCCGGAGATGGCGGTTTCTCGGCGGTTTCCGGCTGAATTGCGAGAGAAGAAGAGACTGGGTAACTGCTGCTCCGGCGGTGGTTGAAGGTGGGGGTTGGAGATAATGCGAAGTAGATGAAGCAGGTGGCGTTTTGGAGTCCATGGACGGTGGTGGTGGTGGATTTTGGCCGGAAAAGTACCCTATTTAGGCAAACCGAAGATAACATCATGCCCCCAACCAGTTGGATGAGTGGAGGGCCGGAGGTAATGCTGTTAGTGAAAACGGCGTCGCATCAGGGCGGCGTGGCCAGTTTGTCCGCCACGGCACCGGGAATTTAGTGCGCCGGAAAAAGGAAGATAGGGTGGGGCAATTGGGCCGTGGGGTTATGATATTTTTCAGCGTCCAACTGGGTTTTGGATTGAAAGCCAACAGAGATATTTTTAAATTACCTGTATTTCAATTTTCATCATTATTTCTCATCTTTATTCTTCTCCTTCTCTTTCTTTTTTCTTTTGGGTTGCTATTTTACAAGGAAGGCAACATTTATGGAATATGGTTAAAAGCCATAAGTTTTTCCAATAAGAGGTTATATTCTGCACGTATTAGAGGAATAAATATTGGATCGAGTGGTTTGAATTCTAGTGATTCGCCCAGAGATACTTTAGATGGAGATACACATAATAATATTGCTAATGTTAAACAGTGTTGATTTGAAGAATAAACATTGGATCAAAGTGGCTTTGATCATTTTGGATTGATGAAAGTTTTAACGCAATTCAGGGCTCTAAAAAGTCGCCAAGCATTAAGATAAACTATGTCTCCTGCATAATGCAAGAATCCAGCAGTTCTGGAATGGGGAAGTTTGAAGACTTGAAGTTGGAGCTGATGCCCAACCTTTTGGAGGAACTCTACGGTAAGCTGACTAGCCACTGAAACAGAATATCATGAACCCACCATCTTCAACTATCATTAAACAAACTTTGTCTTATAGGATAAAATACCTATATTCATTCTCTCTCGCAGAAACATAAGGAGAAAAACACAACATTTAGCGCAACAAGTCGCATCAATTCGCTCTCCACATTATGCATATATGCTACGGCCACCCAACATTCCCACATTATAGCATTTCATTGTAAGGAACGGCAATTGTACGCATATGATTATCCGAAAGAAGAGATGGATATACCGTCAAGATCAAACCTTCTAAAAAACATTTTTACATATCAAGGAGCAAAGAGTTACCGTACAAGCAAATGCTACTTGCCAATATAAGTTTTCAGCATTATATCTCCTTACATAATTCATGCACAATTGTTTTAAAGGTTGAACATGACCTTTATAGCCTTACCCCCACGAGCACTAGTTTCAAAAGCTTCTTCAACCTCTTGCTGAGAAAAGCCAAACCTGTGGGTTATCATGGGCTTCACATCAATCTTGCCACTGCTTATAAACTCGAGACAGAGAGGCCACGTGTTCTTGTAGCGAAATACTCCAACGACATCCACTTCCCTGTAGATGGTTTGCAAAAGTCAGTAACTCATTGGCATTGTCTACATTCTAAAAGCTTATTGATATTTTGACATGGTTTATGAAAGTTCACCTTGCAGCAGCAGGGGTGAGAGGAACCGTCATCTCATTATGACCCATACCAACGAGGCAAACTTTGCCACCAGGACGCGTGGCACCAAGCGCAGTAGACATAGTTTTCTCAAATCCGGCACAGTCCAGAGTCACATCAATATCAGTTCCCATGGCTTTCTGGATTTGTTCAATGTCAGCCGAGACATCCTACACATACAATTTGTGTCAGCTCTGCAATTCAAGAAGTGCGAACACAACACAAGCTAGATCCTAAGATTTTTTTTTTTTTAATTTTTTAATTTTTAATTTTTTTAATTCTAGAGGACGAACTACCAGGATGTCATTGGAACTTTAGCTTCAATCACTATCAGTTATTGACATTTTGGCTCAAACTGAAGTGATCACTTTTGGCCATTTGGTCCGTATTAGGTGTTACTTGATGTTACAAGCAAAATTGATGAATCATTCACTCACTATATTAGTTTCTGTCAACATTTATGTCTAAAGTTATTGGGCTGGACATAAGCGATAAAAATGTTGGGTGGATGTATTGTTAATCAAAAAGGTAAATCACAGAAAATAAAATAATGAAAGTTCACTGACACCATAATCAAATCAGTAACCACACCATAATCACGATGTTCGACCAAAACCTGTTTGCTGGTGGAAACTTTGACAGTTTCATCGGCTCCAAGCTCTTTGGCAACGGATAAACGATAGTCATCCACATCCACTATCAGAATCCTAGGAGCTCCAAAAGCTCGAGCTGCAAGCAAAGCAACAAGGCCAATAGGTCCAGCTCCCATCACCAATACACGTGTTTCAGGACCAACTTCAGCACGACGACAAGCATGTACACCAACACTTAAGGGCTCACACATTGCCCCTTCCTCCAAACTCACATTATCAGGAAGCTTAAAACATAAATCTGCCGGGTGCACAATCTGTTGCAAAAGCAGAAGACATCATCTAAAGAATTATATTTGTGCAACATGATTAGACTAATAATAAATATCACATTTTCTACCAATCACAGGGCACTGTTGCAAAATTCTTTATGTATCAAAATGACCAAAGAACTAACAATAACCTGATTGGCCAGAGAGCCATGAACAGGAGGAGTGGCGAAAAATTTCATCTCCGAACAGAGATTATATCTTCCCTTTTTGCAGTGATCGCATCGCCAACAACTGATTCCCGGTTCTAATGCCACGCGATCCCCAGGGACAAGTGTCTTTACTTCACTCCCTACTTCTGCAATCACCCCAGCACACTCATGTCCGATCACCATTGGTTCTTTCACAACAAAATGAGCACACTGTAATGTCTGGTAAATTTCCAACTTTTAGTATAGAGCTTTAAATTGTAAGTTTTACATATATCCTCAAAACAACATACAGAACCTTGTTTAGCATTCACATAGACTGTTTCCCTTAAAAATCGGAAAAGAAAAGAAGGAACAAAAAGAAACAGTTCAAAAGAACGAGACAATAATTTTACCTTGAGGTAGTGGACATCACTTCCACATATCCCAACTGCTTTCATAGTAACTCTCACATCATGGGGTCCTTCAAGAAACCCACAATAGAATCAACAAAAGGGCAACAAACCAGTTGACTAATACAGTAATACAACCACACATGTGAGCTGAATTTGACTTGATCAGATAGAAGCAAAATACAAATAAAGAAACAATCTTTCAAAGCAAATAGATGATGAAATGAGTAATTAGTACCAAGAGGTGGAAGCTTGAAAGGTTGAATCTTTAGGGTGTTAATACCCATAAGCCAAGCTGCCATGTTCTCTCCACCATCTTGGCTATCTGTACCAATACTTCCCATGGCTGGTTACTCTCCTCCACTTTGCTGCTCTCCTCTATCACTTTGCTTCACTGTCTTCTAATCAAAGTTCTTGAAGACTACTGCTGTGTGTTTCGCCAGCTCTCAACGCCTAAACAAAGGTGGACCAAGAGGAAAAAATATTAAATGTTGGAAAATGTTAGTGGGTGGATAGTGATGATTCCACTGTCTATTTTCGGATAAAGACTGGATCATTTTTTTTTCCCCCTTTCTCGGTTGAAATTATTTTTGTTTTCAGTATCTTACGGAAACGCCCGCTTACAAAAATAAAAAATGTGATATCTTAATTATTTTACAAATGTAACATTTACTTTTGAATCTTGTTTTGCACATGATTGTGACATATTAGTGCTACTAGTAACTTCACTTCAGATTCTGATGTTCATTGACTCACTTTCTTAATTCGAGGTCTCAAGGAAATTTGAGATGCTACATAAAAATGTAATTACACTAGTAATACTACACGTTAAGTTTATTTTATTAATAATCAATAGTATATTTTATTCCGCGAGCAATACTAACACGATACAATAATTACAACTCGTTACACAAACATTGATTTTGCCTCGCAAAACTATATTACAACTCTTAACACGAAAAATGATAATGATAACTAGTATACAACACGACTCAGTGACCACCTCAATTCCCCACTCCCACTACCTGATTCTGGAACGTATAGCACAATACAATTACTTGATTAAGAACAGGGAGAAAGGCCGCCACATGAAATCTTATAGGAAGCTACTACTTGGAGAGCAGCGACTGAAGGGACGCGTGATCTGTAACCGGAGGGCTGCATGTGAAGTTCTGGCACACCAGAGCAACCGCCTTGTCAATAGCAAAGTTATTTTTAGCCATCTGAGCTATATTTGGATTGGCTTCCTCCCAGAATTGGAGCTCTTCTTCATCAGTTGGATCAATGTGAATCACCTAAGCATGAGTGCATGCTGAGTTAGGAGGAATGATCATATTCAGAAGTTGGCTCCAAGTTTTCATTAAGATAAGAGTGGAAAAGTTACCGTCTTGTTGGGATTGTACAATGCAAGGGCCGCAGTTAACATACTATCAAATTCGCCTGAAGTGTTTTTACCAACCACTACAACTTGCTTCTTGGAAGGAACAGAGAGCATATCAGCAGCGCAGCACATCAAAGGCACTGCAACGGACGCGTCATTAAGCCTCTTCTCGAAAACAGCCTGAATCCAACATGACATACATGCAGGATCAATGCCTGACACCCAAAACCGAAAGAAGTGTAGGAAGAAAATGAGCAAAAGAAAGAGAAATACAGACCAGAAGACGTTCTGCGTTTCTTCTGTAATTGTCGGACTTACTCCCAGCAAATACTGAAGCTAGCCTAATGAGATTAATAGCAGAAACAGAATTCCCTGAAGGTTCTGCTCCATCATGATCTTCTTTCACTCTGAGGAGAATCGATGGATCTTCCCCTGGAGTGTTGAAGTAGCCTCCCCCTTCTTTGTCAAGAAAAACCTCATCCTACAAGATGTCTAATGAATGAAACAAAAACAAACATCATGTTTGAATAGAATACGTTTTGCAGGCGGTCAAGTTCTCACCTGGATTTCTTGAAGTTCCACAGCCCACACAAGCCAGAAAATTGGGCCCCCAGATTCGTAAAGATCCAGTAGACTGGCTATGAGAAATGCATAATCATCCAAAAAACCTGGGGCTTTAGATGGACCATTCCTGAAACTATGCTGCAACCTACGTCGTTGTGGGTCATAGAGATGTTTCCTGATGAAGGATGCCGCCTTCTCTGCTGCTACCATATATTCTTCAGGCTTCATCAAGAAAGGCAACCAAGATGTCAGACCTCGTTCAAATGGAAAGAAAAAACACATTTCCAGTATAATTTGAGGAATAAGAACCAATACAACTTTATCAAACAAACATTAGAAGAGATGTCGAAAGGATTTACTTTAGTATTCATGACCGGAAAGTAAAATCTCTCTCCCTCGGACTCGCACTTTAAAATTTGGGAGGCTCTGGCAAGAGATGAGATTGCAAGGCCATTCCATGACACAATTACCTATAAGGAATCGAAAAGTGATCATGCCCCCCACATGGGGAAAAAAAATTCAGGCACAAAGTTATTGAAGTGATTGCAACATATGCAGATACCTTATCATCCAGATGTGGCCGAGGGCGCTTTGAGCGTACATCGAAGAGCTTTTGACGGCAAGTGCCTAGTATTTCACGATATTCCCCAATAGGCATACCATATTTTGAGGCCATGGCAGTTGTGTCATTCCTCTCGATCAGAACATTCTTTCCCTTGAATTCATTATGAGGGTCACTCAAACTTGATAAGTCACAATTGCCTGCAGGTTTCACGTAGTAATGATCCTTAACAAGCTCTGCATGCTCCCCAACAATTTGTTCAACCTTTATAATAAGATCATACAAACACAGTCAACTGGTCATGTCTACATTCTAGCACTCTTAACATGAATTAACTGGAAGAGTAGACTCCATCCAATGTACCTCTTCATTGGTCCAAACATAAAAAGCACCTTCCTTTTTCCTGGAGGCACCCTCGTATTCTGCACTGTCTGCATCCTCTGCTGAAAAGATCTCTCCATCAGGACCAGTCATATCTCTCCTCAAATAGTCCAGAATATCCCGAGAAATACTTGAATAGAAAGTGTCTTTTGTTAAAGAGAAAACATCCAGAAAAGCATTTGCAAGCTGCCCTTGGTCATATAACATTTTCTCAAAATGTGGAACTGCAAAATAAAATAGATGCATCACTATTTAAACTTTGATCAATTAGGAGTTCCTCAGGAGTGATTTAAGCCAGAAATGAAATCAACCAGGACGGACCATGCCAGCATTCGTCCACGCTGTATCTATGAAAACCTCCTCCAATATGGTCATGAACACCTCCTTTTGCCATGCCCCGTAATGTGCCCACCACCATTTCAAGAGCATTCTTTGACTCACTCAGTTTTTGCGACTCCTCCAACTTTTTAGAGAGATAAAGCATTACAGCAATCTCAACAGGTCTAGGAAACTTGGGTGCAGAACCAAATCCTCCATACTTCGAGTCATAGCTCTCAGCTAACTATCCAGAAGTAAAAAAGAAGAATCAGTTGTCTCAATTACATACTCAAGAAATGTAAAAATATCAGGAATGTGAGTGAGCTCAAATGAAGATAAATACATGTGAAACCTATCGACAGATTTCCACAGGAAACTGCTACAACAAGACTTTAGAAAAAGGAACATTTTGGGGTACTAGGCACACAATATAATGCCCACAAACATGTGAAAATAAACAAGACAAGAAAGCACCAAGCCTCTAGGTTATCTGCGTGAATGTCACAAAAATTAATCATCCGAACACCCACAAAAAGGGCAGAGACCAAGTAGAGTCGTGCAACAAAAATTACCTGTCCAGTGCACTGACGTAAAGCTGCCTGTGGAAGCCCATCTGGCAGTTTGTCTGACTTTGCAGCAGCACTCAGTGCTTCTGCTAATTGTTCTATTGCAAACGCCCCACTGCTTATAAGCTGATCCTTCTTCTTGTCCCAAGCTTCTTTCACCCTTCTGTAACAACAAAACTAACAAAATTCAAGCTGAGCAAGCAATACTTGTAAATTCCCCAACTCTCCTTCCCTCCTACTTCCACGACTGATTAGCCCATCGCTATACTAGTGCACATGAGAACGGATGTTCAACTCCATGATAAGTGATAACCCTTCTACAATGTCTTATCATGATGCTAAATAGTTGAACTTGTGAAGATTAAGGGTCTTTTCATAGGGAAACATCTAGCAATAGCTCAAGCTGTCTTATAGGAACACCAGAATCACGCCTTGGGACATTAAGGGTCTCACCTAAGTATGGTTTTGAATCCAGGTCTTCCATATTTATCCTCTGGAGGGAAGTAAGTTCCACCCATCAATGGCTTCAGATCAGGAGAAAGGAAGACAGATAATGGCCAACCACCACTACCATACAACGCTTGAACGTATGTCATGTATACCTATAAAGGAAGCACAAAGTTTACAGTTGTCCAACACTAACACCTTCACAACCAAAAAAAAAAAAAACAAAGAATCCTCAGAAAATTTCAAACCCGAACCAGGCATATTCCCTTACATCTTGACATCAAACCAACCAACCAATATCAAAATACCCACGAGAGCCTCACAACACAGTCGGTATCATTGCATAGCCAGTCATGTGGAATTCATTAATTGGCAAATCTAAAACCACTTATTATCACCACATCATGGCACGCGAGTGGTTATGCAAGGTAGCTATGATTATGAGTGTCACACGCAGTTGTGCCATTTTTCAAGTTCTCATACCTTATCAACATCTGGTCGTTCTTCTCGATCTACCTGTCAAAGACCGATCACCATCAATTTTTGCAGTGAAGCTAAGATTCTAACAACGTTATGAGACAGTTCAGTGTACAGAAGAAAAGATCCCTAACTTAGAAATCTAGGGTTACTGAAAGCTTGTTCTAACCTTGATGCTAACGAACCAGTCATTGAGCAATTTGGCAACCCCCTCATCCTCAAATGATTCAACCTCCATTACATGACACCTAATTATTCACAATTCCTTAGGAAACTCTCGCCAATTCCAGAAGAGGAAACAAATTCCACTAGATAGAGCAGTGACAAACTTACCAGTGACAAGTGCTGTATCCAACTTCAAGCCAATAATGCATCCAAGTCAGGAAATTAGTTCAATATACCCAAAAAGAAAGTAATGATCAGAAAAATCTTTGGAATCCAATAAACTCACTGCCATTCACAACTAAATTCAGCATGTACAATCATGGATTCCCTTATAAACTCTTCATCATTAACGTCGCTCTAACAATCCATTAATTGGTTCATCATCGAAATATGTTAATTAGTTACTATTAAAAGGATACACGATATAAAAAGAGTGGGGGAATTCACTTGATAAGAAGATGGGCACGTCTCTTTTTCGAGCTTCAGCAAATGCTTCCTCTCCCCATGGGTACCAATCAACCTTTTCCACATCATTATCAATCACCCCAGAAAAGAAAACAATTAGAAAAACCCAAGAGGAGAATTAGCCTTTTCCCGGAAAGCTAAAATTGTATCAAACGGAAAAACGTAGAAGAAGCTTACTGGATTATGGGCGTGTTGGAGAAGGTAAGGACTGTGTTCTGCTGCCAAACGGTTAGTGTGTTTGTGAGATTGCTGGTGATCAGCGGACGCCGCCGCCGCCTTAGAGGAGGAGGACGACGGCGGCGACGAATGCTGCTCCGCCATAGCTGAAATTCTACCGGAGTGAATTGAACGGCGACGATAAGAAGTAAGAGTAACGATCCTTAAAGGGCCGTCAGATTCAGGGTAATTAGAACAATTCCTGTATTTGGTAACTAATTTACTTCTGTTGGGTGTTCTATTATGAAGGTGAGAGAAATGACGGGAAAGGAAGAGCCTTTTGAGCATAGAAATGGTAATGGAGGATGGAAATGGCGTGGAATGGCGGTGGATTGGTTGAGTCCTGCGGAGGAGAGTTGGAGAAAGAGAAGTTTGGAGAAAAGTTGCCATCTGGGCTTGCGGCGGCGACGGCGGCGGCACATGGATGGATCATGCGATGAGTCGAACCTGCCACGTGGATGGATTTCTTCCAAGATAAAAAACCAAAGCAGCCACTTTTTGTTTTCCAAAAAAAAAAAAAAAAAAAACCCCACTTTAAAAGAGCAGTTATTTTTTTTATTTTCTTGTTCAAAACTGTTCGAGTGCTTCGAACTCAATATGGCTTTCAAGGATGGATCTGTTGAGATTTTGCATAAATTTATAGTACGTTTTAACGAAACTTACATCCTGTTTAACGTTTATTAACGAAACAAAAAATATGTCTGTAAACTATATGTTTGTAATCTATTTTTTTTTTTTTATATAAGATCAAGAATTTCATTAGAATCACCATCAATCATACATACTCAAAAAGTGCAATAAGAGACTGTTTTTCCATTATTTCTAGCTACAATTGTAGGTTTCCTTGCTTCATCTCCAAGTATAGATTTGGGAAGTCATCAAATATAATCTTGGTATTTTTCTTTTTTAAATTACGGATGAAAATACTTTACCAACCTTGTTTCGAATATATACTTCAAATCATACATATCTCTACAGAGAAACATGTTGTTACGAAAGTCGACTATTTACATGATAATAGAATAATTAATTCATCAAGACATTAGACCTAATTTATGCAAAATTGAAAATATTGCCCAGCAATGTGTCGAACTATTTGGATATCAGGTAAATGAGGGAGTAATATGAAGTTTTTTCATGTCACAATTTATCTTTTTCACTTCATTTCTCTTTCCAATTACTCTGCTCGTTCTTTGTTTTATGTGATCAAATATGACAATTGGAAATGATAACCAAGGTCGATGACATTTATTCTATAGCATGTAGTATAACTATTCCAATTCAAGAGTGGCAATTAAGGTTTACTGTCTAAGCCTAACTTAAAATCATTTTCTTTATTTTTCTTGGTACATACCCTCTCCGGTTCTTAATATAAGGTATTTTGATTTGTCTTAACGTTCACTTAGTACATATTTTTAATTAATAAAAAAATTTAAAAATATATTTTCACATTTGTTGTGTTCTCTTGATTGTTATGATACAATTTTAAGGTTTTTTTACAACTAAAAATTCGTATTAAGTTAAACTTAGAAAAAATTAAAATGCCTTATAATAAAAACAGAAAGGAGTAGAAAGGAAAGCATATATAGAGTTTCAAGTTTGCACCGATTTTTCTGTGATTTTTTTTTCCCTTTTCAATCAAATAAAACGTAGTGTTCTCTCGAATTTTATTTTCTCCTGTTGTAACTTAGGTATCAATTCTCTGTTTTTGAAATTCTAACTTTATCATGCTTGAAATTTGGCTCCTCTTTCTGACTAATTCTATCTCTGAATGCTCATACAACTTCCTAAGCTCTTTGGGGAATTTAGATTGCCTCTATGCTTAGGACTTTTCCTTTTGTTTTCATTTGTAGACTCCATCTTCTTTGAGTCAAAAGTTTCAGCAGCCGGTTGATGAGAAGATGCCATGGCACATTTAGCATAACTTCAACATTAATTTTAAGCCTTTAGCTTATGTCATTTGTTACTCTCAGCGTTTTGTGGAATGGATGGAGTCGCGTTAGAAAATGTTGGACAGTTCCACATGTTGGAAATGAGGTATTAATTTGAATGAGAATTGTTTTCTCATAGATTGGAAAATTGAGGTTATGCTATCGGAGTAGCTTAACTCATGTATGTGCCCGACTTGCAGATACAAATGTCGGACCGAACTCTCGTGGACCTGATCAACTCACGTTTGCTCTGTCTCAGATTAATTTTCCAGTCAAATAATAGAGAGACTTTTGCTGCTAGAATTAATTCCAAACGGGTTTCATTTAATCCGAATTTGACCGGATTGATTACCAATGGTTATAAGGGTGTTAATAAATATAATATTTCATTTAGCACAGGAATTAATTTGATGCAATAAAACTGACCGTTTCAGTTTTGAATTTGCAGGATTAATTCATTTAAATGAGTAGAATAAATGATTGAGTGGTTACAAATGTTTAAACATTTGACTCACAATTATTCAGCTACAATTAAAGTGAATTAACATGAGAAAACCGTTGGGTTTTTTGGCTGAATTCAAAAGGCCTCTTAATGATATAAATAGTGGCTCATTTGTTTAATTCTAAGAAAACCAATTTCTTCATTAATGTTGCCTTAGCTTTTTCTTCCTCTTCCTTGGTGTTCATCAAATATTTTCTAAGTTCTAGTTCGCCGGTGAAGCTACTTAGTGCTAAGTAGTTTTCACGTTTCTCCGTTGTATCATGGGAAACAATTGTCCACGATCCTCTAGCACCTTAGGAGGGGGCAAATATGTTTTAAGGAAATCGTGTCTTCACGAGTCTTGGATTTTCCTATTTCTTAAAGATATCATTGTTCATCACAAATACTACATTCAATTCTTCCATCAATCTTAAAACATATTTTTTGATGTGTTGTATTTGTGATCAAAGTCAGAATGGCTGGAAGCATAGCCAAAAGGAAGTTTCTTTTCTTGTCATCTAGATCATGTCGACTTCACGGTCGGTTGGCAAAGTGGTCGACGAAGGCAAACAGAAGGGCAATGAAAGAAGTTGATTTTGTCGTCGGTCGATGAGGAAATCGACGAAACTGAACAGAATTCGAAGTTTATGGTCATCGAGTTTTCTGTCGGGTCCTATATATTGACCAAAAGGTCGACGAAATCTGGGCAATACTTTTCTTTGAATTATGAAGAATAATTGATATGTTTCTTTTGTCATGTAGGGAATTGGGAGAAGATCAAATTGTGCATACGTGACAGATAACACAATTGGGCAAAAAGATCTACTCATATCTTAGTCTACTGATTAAAAGTAAAGAAACGAGGATTTTTGGTTCCTTAACTAAGGTATATTTCGATATCCTTAAGATATATGAATATGGGTATATGATATATGCTATTCATGTTAATTGGTTGATTTTTAACATGAACAATGATTTTAAAAGTTGAGCATATTCCCTAAGTGAATCGATGATCTTTTATATGGATTATATCTGCTCAGGATTGATTAAATGGGAATAAAGTGCCATTCTAATTTAAAACCCCCGAAGCATGATTATCCAAATGCATGTAATACAATTAATTATTGAATGTTATTATATGCTTTTATGGAAAATCATGACATTGATTTGCATTAATACATTCATGGAAAATGAATAGCTCTATGATACCAATGGCTATATTAATCATGGTACAAGAAGCATAAATTTGTGTCTTCTGATTATGACTATATAAGGTGCATAAAAATGATCAACATCCCATGATAAGCATCTAAATTGTAAGCATGATAAATAATGAGAAGTTAAAGTATTATACTTCTTTGGAATATCTTTGTTTGGACCATATTTTGAAATTGTGGCATTAACATGAGTCATTATCCATGAAAAATGCATGTGTATTTTTTATGGCATTTAAATGCATATGAGAGGCACTAAATGAATTCATTAGTTTGTTAATAAATTTATTTGGCTTACTAGAAGATAAAAGGAAAAATAAATTGGGGGCTAATATTGGCTTTGGGATATTTCTCCTAACATAAATAATGTATTGAACATAAATAATGTGCATCCAAGATAATGTGCATGGCTAGATCTGTAAAACTAGCATTTCGATTGCCATTTGCACGATGCACTGAAAGGACATATGTTTAGATGAAAAATACATTGAATGTGTTTTGTTTTATGGCCAAATATTTTAAATGTTTGGGAATTATGGGTGATAACCAGTGAGACTTAAATATGTGCCATTAATGGATTATTTTGTTGTCATCACCTAAAATGGGAGTTACAATTTGTCCCTGGTTTTTTCTTTGTTAATAACCAGAACTGGAATAATAACAAGGATTTATGTGCATGACTTTATGGAATGGAAGTTATATTTTTCCACTAAATCTAATGATAGATTTAAATTAAGGAAAAAGAAAAATGAATTGTTGTATTCATTGTTTGGGCATAAATGACAAAAGAAGTGCCCAGTCTCAAACCTCAATGTCCATGATGTTTAGACTACTAAATATTAAATAACTTGATTCTTGGTGCATGGAGTTGCTTTATAAGACACTCTTATATGCAGTTGTTATATATGTCTTGTCACAAATGAATTTTTAGATGCCCGCGTGGCAAGTAATTTTAAAATGGTAAAGCATCAAATATTTGTGTGCTATATGGGTGCATGATTTTTGAGTTTTCTGAAATTCTTCATTTGTATATATGAAAGAATTTAGTAAGAGCAATGATTCTCAATTTTGTGGTGAGAACTATGACTCTTTGTTCCACTCCACTTTTGTGAGAATGGAAATTCCATGCGTGGTATGGGATGAACAAGATGTATTCCAATGAGTTCTATCTTCTAGATATGAACAGAGGTTTGTTCTCAATAGAATAAAGTCTATAAAGAGAATTTGTTCTCTACGAGATTAAGGTTGAGAATAAACTCAATAAAAGTAATGGATATTGGAGAAGTGGTACTAGTGGTGAGTGAGGCACCAATAGGTGACTTCTTTACACAACATAGAATTATCTATGAAGTTTCTACCATAGTTACATCTATCCAATAGAAATATGAACGTGGAAAATACACATTAATTTTTGAAGAAAATTGTGAAAACAATATTTTCAGTTAAGTATCGCCCGAATGTGGGGGAGAGTTTCTTGTCAAATGATTACCTCATTAAGGTATCATGAAAGAAATTGTGACCATCCTATAAACACTTATGAGTGTGGGGGTCTTATATGAGCAACGCAATCAAACACTTGTGAGTCTCAAAGTATCTGGTGGAGATACTTGCATTAAAGGAAATAAAGATGAATCCTAATTGGTGGATAAAATCTTTATAGGCCATAGTACATGACGGTATCATGTAAGGGTTCTTTGTGTATATTTTGAACTTGTCAAAATTACAAAAGAACACTATAGTGTGATGAGAAGAATGTGTAATTCTTTTGGAAAGGAAATGGTTCACGTTAAAGAACTAAGATGTGGCTAGGAACCAAATATGAATGATTTGAATTGCATTTGTTGGGAATGATTTACGAACTTATTAGTTCTTGTGATGGATCTTTACGGAGAAACCATAAAGAGTGTCGATTCTATTTTTGAGAATCATACTTTAAAATAAGTTAATGTCACATAAGGAATCAAAGTAAATAAACAATGAGTTTGTTTAGATTACTTGATATGTATTCTCTCGTGTTGAGATCAAGATCAAATAATGTTTCCTTCAATGAAAAATTAGATACGGAGCAACCCGAGAGTTTCAAGCTCTAAATACCGATAATAAGATCGGTAAATTCTTTTATGGTCTTGGAACAAGTCCAAAGATCATCGATAAGAGTTAAAGAGTATGTCAAAATATGTCTACATCAATGGGACATGGAAAGACTAAGGCATTTGATGCCTATTTGAAAGACATACTAAATTGTC